CAGTTTTTGTCGAATTTCTTGAAATGCTCCTGTGGTTCTCTGAATATCACCGTTTTGGCCTTCGAAATAGCAAGGCTTGCAGTGGAACTTTGTTCGGTATTCGGTATGGGCATGCCTCGCCGTTCTGAGGTGGGTTGGGCATCCACAATGAGCAAGATTTCTGTACCATATTTTCTGTGAGACGTTTAATGTTAATAATGCCTTGCCTTCGTCGTTGCGTAGGCGATACAGTCTTTGGTTTTGTCTTCAGCAATTGTCTTAGAGACTACGATATCACGCGCTACCGTGAAAGCCTCAATGGGGCACGGGGATATGAAATATATTAGCATAAATCTGATGATGATGATGGCTGGGAGGTCCAGTGACGCGATCCATGTATAGATGTAGATGATAGCAGATAGTATTTTGCCCATCGCATTTCTCTATGATTTCGGGCAGCATGATACCAGGTACCAACAACTGGTAAGAGGTCATATTTGTATTCAACTAGGAACAGCCGGGACGGATGAGGCTCATCATATGTGTACGCAATTCAATCTATCAAATATTCTCTACCATGTGTATCTTGTCAAGCCACTGACGCTAATGCTGGGTGGTACGTGCGGGAAGAGCCTCATTTTCTGTATTTTCAATTGGTTGTTGACGGTGGACCGTGCGGTGGCGGTGGTATGATCTCCCCGTTTCTATGAGCTTGTTTCTATATATAATGCTAATTTTAGAAATGCATATGCCTCATTCAGCAGCGATATTAGTCTCCCAAGGTACTGGAGGGATAAACTTACTGAGATAGCTCACTGGACGCTGAAAGTTCTGGAGGCAAATGGCTCAGTTGGCGGCTCTATCTTGCGCCACTTCAGGGGTGTTGGGATAGTAACTACTGCGCTTTTAGCGATCGTTGTGAAATTACTATGTACAGTGCTTAGTCGACATATATATACTTGAGTGTACTCTGTCTGCTTAGCAGCGAAAGAGGGAGCACACGATACATTCGTAGAGAATAAGTATAGAAGTATCGATGAGCGGGCAACGGTGAGTCATGAGCTTAGTGAAGCGTGAAGGGTTTGTGAATACCCTACTAGAGGAAATATTGTTAGCCTGGTTTGGTTATGGGCGACTCACTGTAGCTATGGTTACATGGCCCAGAACAATCCTCTATTTTCCTGTTATATAATAATTCTCGTTGTGCCTCGACGGATTTGCTTATGGGTGATAGAAGAACCTGCAAATACTACGAAGACTACTCCGTATAAAAAGGAGTAATTTGATCGAGTGGTCTTATTACTCCATGTTGAACCAGATGTTTCAGTTATATAGAAGCCTGACAGGAAACAGGGATATTTCTGAGCCAGCAACCAATCACAAGAACTACAAAACGTCGTACGGTCTAGACAACCAAGGTACTGAGGGAGAACATACTGGTTAGGAGTAATTTAGTTTTGCCTCACTTTTATCCTAGCTTAGGGTTTGAGCAAGAGTAGGAGTAATAAAGATTAGACAACATCAGATAGATAAAGATTTGATATATGATGGGGAAACAAGAGAGGAAACAAAAGGACTGCCATTTCACCTTTGCCGCTTACATCCTGCTCGCCTATCCAGGGAGAGAGATATTATGGCGACGTTCATATCATAAACAAGGGAATAAAAAAAGAAAAAGAAAAAAAGACCCAGTCCACCGAAGGGAATTAGAGGAAAAAGGTTAAAAAAAGAGAAACAACGACCAAACAGGCATGATGTAGAACAGGAGGGAGGCGTAAACAGCATTATGTGAAACGACAGTGACGGTACGAAGCAAAGGGAAAGGATTAAGAAAGAAAAGGGGGAGGCAATAGCAGGGACGAAGATAAACATGTCGATTGATACATTGAGAGAGCCAGGTCGAAATCCAGCCGAGCCCGCGAATGGAATGAGAGGAAAGCAAGCGAGGGAACGGAAAAAACAAGAGAATAAAGAAAAGAATAAGAGAAATAAACGAGACAATAAGAATAAAGAGAGATGGGAATACATAGAGCTAGATAAGGAAAAATAAAATAGGAAAGCAAGATAGGGACAACACCAGAAGCGTTCGAAGGTGAATATGTGAGAATAACCGCAAGGACACAGGTCAAAGGCTATATTGGTACACGAAAGACGGAGAGAACGGCCTGAGGTACAACATCAAGCGATTCATATCATATTTCCTGCGGCAACAGGATGGACAGTATTGGTTGACGGCATGGTCGAAGACTGGCTCGGACTTGGATTGTCGGCACGGGCTTCTTCCTCATCCAACCGACGCCTCCAGTTCGCAAGACTGTCACTTAGTCCTTCGCTGTAAGTCTCCTTAGTAGGCGTCTGATCAAAATCAAACTGCGTGCTTATCCTATAGCTGCGGTTGGTGGTCTCCCAGTGACTACGAAGAGCATCGAGCTCGTTGGCGAGAGAGTCCAAAGCCAAGGAACCGCGATGGTTCAAGAGTGTATCGTCCTGCGAGACGTTGCTGCCCGCTCGCGACCGGTTGGCGTTGGCATTCATTGCACTAGATGCATTGCTACCTGTGCGGCTTAGATTGGCACCGTTGGAGTTCATTCCGCTGGATACTTGCTGGGATTGTCGACGGTAGTTAGTAACAGATGATTCGACTTGGTCGAGAAGCATAGAGACTTTCTTCTCCGCGTCCATAGCACGAGATTCAAGAAGGGCATTCTCCCTCTTGAGCTGTTCGAGATCACGATGGTTCTTTTCCGTGATACTAGAGAGCTCGGCCTGTAGCGCTTCCTGTTCTGTGCACGATTCGTCATACTTCTTTTGGACGGATGAGAGTTCTGCTTGGACGGTTAAGAGTTTGGTCTCGAGAGACGAGATAGATGCAGCAGTAGACGCTTGTAGTTCAGAGATAGACTGGTGTAATGTGTCACGTTCTGTTGTCCACTCCGCCGGTGCCTCTCGCGAGGCACCTCCGTCTGGGTTATTCGACACTTCTGCCAGCTCAGCCTGAAGTTTAGCTGTTTGTGATTTATATTTCGCCAGCTCATCTTTCATGCGTTTCAGCATCTTTTCTGTTCCTTTAACATAATGAACTGCAGATTGATAATCGTTCTCGAGCTGCTCTAGTTTCTCATTGTATGCGCGACCAACCTCTTGCTCTCGGAATTCAAAGCTGGACTTGGTTTCTTCGTGTGCCTTCAAACTAGACTGCAGCTGCTGCTCTAGCTCGCGTAGGCGGTTTTGCTCAGGCGTTCCGTAACGTGATCCGGGCGAATCCAGGAGCGGAGAACGTCTGCTATCGGACATGTTCACGCCACGCTCAGCAAGTAGATCCTTAAGGGCTCCATGTTGGATAGCCAGTGCGTTGGTGTCACGTTGCTGATTCTCGAGTTGGGCTTTCACCTCTCGGTTCTCAGCATTGAGCGTTTGATTCTCCTTCAAGGCTGCCTGGAGCTGTCTTCGGAGTTGTAATCCTTCCCTACTGCTCTGCTCCTGATAGGCTTCTAGACCAGCAATACGCTCTTCAGCACGACGTAACTTCTCAGCAGCGGAATCCGCTGCTTGTTGGCTTGTCTTTACCAACTCATTGGCACGTTCAACCTGGGACTGAAGAACAGTGACACGCTGATCGGTCAAGGAGTTATTCTTTTCAGAACCACGCGAAGTCACACGATCAAATCCAGATAATAGGGCGATCTTGTGGCTCTCAGCTTCCTTAGCATGAGTATCAGCAAGCTCCTCCGCTTCCTTAAGTCGTCTTGCGGTATTTTCTAGCTCTGCGGTCCGTTCCTCATGTTCTGCTCTCAACTGTAGTAGTTTCCTCTCAACAATATCACGGTGATGGCGTTCCTCTTCGAGTTTTCGTTCCATGAGCTCTGCCTTGGTGACGGACGCTTGCACGGCATCCCTCAGGGAAACAATGTTCAATCCATGGCTCTCTATACGGCTAGTGACATCTTCGTGCTTATCAGCTAATTCGGCATAGTCAACCTGGAGCATCTTCAGAGCCGCCTCTGCCTCGGAGCGTGCAGCAGCCTCCTCCCGGTATGAGGATTGCAGCTGATGTAGTTCAACACGCATACTCTCTAACTCGAGAGGGTTATTCTGGAGCTCCAGCTCTGTTAACCTCTTATTTGTCATCTCATGAAGCTCTTCTGCCAGCTCTTTCGCTCGCCTTTCCTCTTGCAACTCCAATGACAACGACTCAACTTTGGCTTTCAATTCATTTTGCACAGTTATGGAAAGAGCAAGACGACGAGTGATTTCAGCTGTGCGCTGGGAGTTGGAATCGTCGAGATCACGGCCACTATCAGACATTGGAGTACCGCCTTGGCTACTGCCGCCACCGCCATGTGCAGCAAGCCTCGCACGAGCATAAGCTGCCTCGTTCAAAGCAATATCTCGCTGATGCTCGACCTCTGCAACTCGCTTTGAAGCAATTCCAGCTTGGCGATCAACGTTGGCCTGCATCTTTGCAAGCTCCGTCTTCATAGCAAGCAACATTTCAACCAACGGGCGATCTCCTTCATTAAAGGAGTCCACTGACCGTTCTTCAAAACTACCAGAATTGGATGATGGGGTGTAGCCTGCTTTGCGAGCCAGTGCAAGTTCAGACATATACCATGCATTCTTGGTTTTCATGGTCTCCAACTCCTTTATCAATGCTTCCTGGTGCGCTGTCAAACGCGGCGAACGTGGCTCATCAGCTAGATTTCTAGAATTTCTGTAAGTTCGATTTTCAGATGCCAGTATTGAATCGTCCACGCTGTCTACAGAGTTTTGCTGTCGTTGCTGCCTAAGTGATCGCTGCCGCGCAGGGGTTACCAAAGGGGCAGCCTCTCCAGCTTCCATTGCACGTGCTGACAGTCGTGATGATGAGTGTTGTTGGCGAACAGCCGTAGTCATTGGGCTGGGTTCCCGAACGCCTCTGTTACTACCATGAGCTGATATATCCCGACTTCCGGATTGTTGCCGGTCTTTGTCAGATCTGATGTGTTCCGAGGAGGAAGAAATGTTCCTATCAGCTTTTCCAGGTTGTTGTTGTTGCTGCTGCTGCTGCTGTTGTTGCTGTTGTTGTTGCTGCTGTTGTTGCTGCTGTTGTTGCTGCTGTTGTTGCTGCTGTTGTTGTTGCTGTTGCTGCTGCTGCTGCTGCGGTTGCTGCTTTTTAGCCTGTTGAGGAGGAACTGCATTTGATCTCGGGTGGGGTGCTTGGCCTGATGGAGGTGGCCCGGCAGGGGTTTGCGCAATTGAAGCTCTTGGTAGCCTGGAGCTACCCGCTGGGCTTCCATTAGGGTCCCTAGCTGGACCAGGTGGTCCCCGGCGCTGAGCATCAGGAATAACATGCTGAGCCTCGCGAGACGTACGGCCAGATTGGCCGGCCGGCCTTTCATTCTGCGCAATTCTTCGAGGGGGTCGCTCTCCAGTCGGAGAGGTAGGTTGCTCATTAGGGTATCGAATTTTAGTAGTATCCAAAACATACACCAGGCCGAGTTCCATCGGGTCGCGAGGTGCAGAGCTTGGCTCTCCAGCAAGGACTATAATGTTTTTACCAAGGGTGGTCATGCTGTGGCCTGATCGTGGCGAGGGCGCAAGACCCATGTTGTGAAAAGAGTACCATCGCCGGATTGAAATGCGGAATGCAATCAAGTCTCCAAGATCAACACCTTCCTCTGTTCGTCCACCAAAAACGTACATGACGTCGCCGACTAATGTAGCTGCATGGCCCTCTCTTGGTGTCGGGGTAAATCCGACGTAATCAATCTGTGTCCAGGAGTTGCCTCTTGGGTCATAGGACCAAACATCATTAAACCATTGAACTCCGTTTGTACCTCCAAACCTATATCCCGTTAGCACTGTAAAATGTATATATCGATGGCGGTGAACGTACAGGTAAAGCTTGTCATTAAACGTAACCATTGTGTGGTTAGTTCGCGCTGGAGGAACCTGCCCAACAGGAGGGCCATCATCATGGCTATTTCTAATAAGAAACTCCCACTTATTGCCCGGGTTGTTCATGGCATTGAGATCGAATGCAAGCAAATCATTAAAGAAGAACCCCTCCACCTGACCACCAAAAACATAAATCTTGGACCCAAGCAGGTTCAATGAATGACCATATCTGCCAGGCGGTCGAGGGCCCGGAGAGGCGGCACAAGACCATTGTCGAGAAGCTTATGGTATGAGTTATCAGCACCCTGTAATGCTGGGTAAAAAGAGACGAAAGGAATCCAAGACATATACTCACAGGTGTTGAGGAAATACAAGGTATCATCAAGGGTATCATTATCATGAATCTTCGTATCACCTCCATAAACAATCAAAGCATTTCCTACTAGTAAACTAGCATGTCCAACTCTTGGGCCTGGGCCTTCAGTGACCGGGGAGATTGGAAAACAAGTGGAATTGTTCCCGTTGTTTTCAATCATCCACAAATCACCTTTAACTGTAGAACCGTCCACCAGGCCACCCATTAAGTATATATCACCTTCTGCAGATGCAATTGCATTAATAGCAGCTCCGTATCGTGGGAAAGGGGTCAGCTGCGGTGAGGGGAAGTTCATGCGGCGTTGTGACCAAGGGTAGACGGCATGATTGGCAGCAGGCGGTTGTGTTCCATTGGCGACCTGGCTTCGTGGTACCTATAACAAAATAACTTAGAATTCTACCATATATTGAGATGTCCATTGTATGGATATGCATTTTGTTATAAAAGAGAATAAAGAATCAACGTCAACAAACCTTTGGCTCTGAGTCCGCCCGGTCTCTGCGTGCAACGATTGGTTGACTTGGGTTTGCCGATGCAGGGTTTACTTGATTAGGTGCAGGAATTGAGCTGCTGTTTGGCCCAAACTGCTGTATTGGTTCGCCATCTCGCTCTTTATCTCGAATGCCATTAAGCGTATTAACTGCGTTGGACGATGGAAGTGAACTCGGGCCTTCAGACGTATGTATATTCCTTGTCGCCGCTCCAGGGGGAGGTTGGTTGTGATTCTGAATGTGGCTCTGGTTTTGATTTTGATTTTGTTGCTGGTTCTTCTTGGACTTGAAAAGGAAGGACATCTTCAACGATCGAATATGAGGGCGTCAACCTCTCTGGCAGCGACAGTCTCGAAGAGGAAAAGGCGAAGGGAAAAAAAAGGACTATGTTTCCAGATATCAAGAATGTAAAGATATAGACATCCACACAACAATAAAAAATGGCGGTCGTAAATACGTAAGTTCTTTTGCTGTCCCCCCCTGACGAGCAGGAAATCGCCGCTGGGTCGAATCGAAGGATGCCAGCCTCAAGGCTGTCACTGGCCAGGATGAGCGAAAGAGATTAAAAAGGAAAGAAAACCGGGGGGCGAATTAGAATGAATAGAGAAGCGATCGAATATGTGTTCTATGTTGTCTTTCGAATAGACAGCCGGCTATCCTTTTGGGTGAAGGAGTGGCTAAACGGTTTAATCGTTTCCAAGAGGATAGATAATGGGTGTTCCTGACCCAAACATTCATAGACCGCGCGCGATCGGCTGCAGAATCGTAGTTCTAGACGAAACAAGCATTGGGAACGAGACAATCGGCGGCAGTCGAAGGGGAAACCGGGAGAGGACGAAGATGGGTGAGAAGCAGGAAGAGGACAAGGGGGAAAAATATGCTTCTTCACGGCACCTTCGATCGTGAAACTGGCGGCGTGAGAAAGGAAAAGTATTAAGTGAAGTTCAAGTCTTTCTTTTTTTTTTCTTCGCCTGCAAAAGAAGAAGAAGATAAGTTTAGGGGTTGGTCGAATCGGGTTAGCCGGGCCGCGCTTAGTCAGGGGCTGCGATCTGATTAAGCGCAGAAAGGTTATTCCGAGGTGTGAAGAGTGGATGAAGGTATAGAGGGGATGTTATATATTACAGGGATAGTTTATAGATGCAAGGGACGCTATAGTAGAGTACAGATACAGCTTAACAGATACCCATAGGCCAAGTAGGTGGGTGGCGAGTGGTGACGTTCGGATCTGAAGCTTAACAGAGTAACGGGTCCCCCTGTAGCCTGTCCCGAGGCGAGTTCCCTTCGTCCATACTGTGGTAAGGCAAGGGTAAGGCAGCTAGTGCTGATATTAATGGCACGCCTTCCCGTACTTCCGCAGTCGAGTGTAATTATACGGAAGAGGTGCAAGGAACCCGGCACCAGCAGATGCAGCTGCAGCCATCCAGAACGTAGGGTCGTCAAACGCAACCACTCCGCTGGTCAGGTGGTAGTCTACCAGATTCTGCACGGTCTCCATCCCGAGCATCGACACAAGGCTCATGCCAGCTGCCGTTTTGGCTGCCGCTGCCCAGGACAGCTGGTCACGGCCGAGCCTAAGTAGAACGGTCTCGAGCATCATCGACGTAGACAATCCCGAGGCCACTACCCGGTGTATTTAGCAATTGTTGTGTGACAAGTAAAGGACAAAAAAAAAAAACAGAAGGTTGACATACTAGCTATACCCATGATTAGGCCTGTCCCGATGCTGGGATAGCATGACTGTAAGAACCACATTGCCGAGAAATCACCTAGACTACAACCGATCAAGCATCGGAATGTGTTGACGCCTGCTCGTTTCCACGTCGGTTTTGAACTCCAGAATCCCATAGATAATATAGGCTCTTGGGACTTGGCGCAATGGTGCGCCGGTCGTATGGTTGTGAAAGATGCAGGTATGGTGTGGTTCCGGCTGCGGGAGTATGTAGCTCTCGGAAGCTGGCTGAACGGTAGCAGCCTTGTTGGCCGCAGTCCACACAGCGACATAGTTTCGTGTTATACTTTGTATATCTCCTCAATGGCAACTTTTATGTCCCTCGGTGTGTGCTTGCGGTTGTTTGAGCAGGCTGGAGATATGAGGCCAGAGCAGGAAGAGACCAGACACAGCTATTCGACGGAGGTTATGGCTGTCAAACCCGCTGCGGTACACGCTCCACCCAAGCGTAATAAGGGTGAAGAGCAAGAAAGCAGGCCGGAAGCGCTCGAAGACGCTTACTGACGCGGTTCCGATCGATAGGAAGTCAAGGACAACCTGGGCAGTAGTGAAGAGAAGACAACGAACAGGTTAGCTTGAACCCAGTAAAACAGCAAGAAACGATTGACCAGAATTCTCACCGGAAGCCAGCAACAAGAGCTGTGTAGCAGTGCAAAGAAGATGGGCGATAGGCGTGCTAGGGCACCTTGACGTTGAGAATCAGCTTTATTCTCAGACTCCTTCGTCTCGCTTGAAGATGGTGGTGATTTTTCACAGCAAGACATCGTCCGGACGGCCTTCGTATAGGTTATAAGAAAAATAAAACGGCCCTTTTACCGAAGACCGGGGCTCTTCCTATACGATTGGTAAAGTTGGCGATGCTCTCCCCTGCAGACATGCGCCGAGGAAGTGGAGTTGCTAGGGAGTGTTTTTCTACCTTGTAGACGGTTTGAATGATAATGACAGCACCACAACGATGACGACTATAAGGAGATACTAGAGAGTAATCTATTTCATCGACTTTTTTTCCTCTGATATATGGACTATTCGATATAAACTAGTTAATTAACTGAGTATCTGGGCTTCGCCAAACATAGCCATCGTCCTTCAACTTTGCCCGCCAGGCCAAAGTGGTATATTCTATATGGTATCAAACAGTATCCCAGCCCATGTTTAACATGTAATATCTTCCTAGCTGCCTTCTTATTATTTATTTACTGTCTTTTTTCAATCTTCATCAACTTCGTCGACTCCGATCTCATTACATAATCAACCATCACGTGCGCTATCCGGAATATCGATGATCCGTGGGAGCTTCTCGACTTCTTCGACCTTCTCGACCTTCAGAGAACAAGAATAAGAACATGAGCGGGACATGCGGCGTATCAAGGCCTGAGATGAACTACAAGCGGTGGATGCTGGTGAATATTTCTCCTTGACATGTCCTGAATACGTCGGCCTCTCCTCACGCCGTTTCATTTGTCCACACTCGAGCGCCAACGCTGCAACGTCAACGGGTCTACTGCGAGTTAGTTACTCTCCTGTCTTGTCTCGTTGGGCACATCGGAGAAACAGCTGTGTGATAGCTGTGCTGTGCCCCTTTTACTGCCCAATATATACATAGCAGTAGCAGCTGATGAAGTTTCGCGCTTTTTACAATACTGACAGACTCGCTCTAGATCTCAAACCCTCTATTAGAAAGCCAACTTTGACATGAGCAGAAATGCGCCTTCACACTCCCGTTACAGCATGACGCAGGAGGTAGAGAGAGCCCCTGGCCCGAGCCAGAGCAAGACAGTCCGGGTTTCGTTCGAGTCTGCTCCCGACCCGCAAGCTTCCAACTCCGCCGTGCAGCAGCCTACTTCTAGCAGCGGTGGTGGTCACCATAGATCAGCCACCAGCAGCGGCGTCCAGTTCCACAACGGTCCTAAAGCAACAGGCGATGCCAGTGCTGAGTCGCATTCTTCTGTGAATGAATCTAGGGCGCGCTCAAGACCCAATATAAATGGCAAGCGGAAGCCGGCTTTGATACGAGCGAAGAGTGAGCATTGGCATGACCTAGGCTCGGAGATTAGAGCGTTAGGAGGCGAGGAGGAAGATGTCCAGCTCCGCCATGGCTGGCAGGATGAATACACATCCAGCGAATACTTGAAGATCCTAAACTCTGTGAGTTCTGTTTGACTTTTATTGTATGCTTCACACCTGTGCTAACAGTCATATCCTTTCAGAACTTCTACATGTACTTCACCGAAAAGCGACATGATACCAACGGGATTCCGAAACAACCGGATGAGGTCTGGAGAAACCAGGATTGGCGCATGAGAGATAGGTTGAAGACCGTCTCGGCGGCACTTGCTATCTGTCTCAACATCGGAGTAGACCCTCCAGACGTAGTCAAGACGAATCCCGCAGCTAAGCTCGAATGCTGGGTAGATCCAACCTCCACAACCGGCGCCCAAAACAAGGTTATGGAACAGATTGGAAAGAAGCTACAGGAACAATACGAAACGCTCAGCTTACGGACCCGATATAAGCAGTACTTGGATCCTTCCGTAGAGGAAACGAAAAAGTTCTGCATTTCCTTACGTCGTAATGCAAAGGATGAAAGAGTCCTCTTTCACTACAACGGCCACGGTGTTCCTCTGCCCACACCCTCTGGCGAAATATGGGTATTCAACAAGAATTATACGCAATATATTCCTGTTTCTCTCTACGATTTGCAGACCTGGCTTGCTGGGCCAAGCTTGTTCGTGTTTGATGTATCTCACGCTGGTAACATTGTTCAGAATTTCCACGCGTTCCTTGAAAAACATGAAAAGGAAAACGCTGAGGCTCGAAAAAGAGATCCTATTGCATCTCTCCAGAATTATGGTGATTGCATTTTACTCGCTGCTTGTGAGAAGAACGAAACACTACCAACAAACCCCGATCTACCCGCAGATCTTTTTACATGTTGTCTAACAACCCCAATTGAAATTGCCTTAAGGTATTTTGTGCTCCAGAATCCTTTACAGACAAGCCTCTCCGTGGACGAATTTAGAGTTCCGGGACGTTTACAGGATAGAAGAAGTCCGCTGGGTGAACTTAATTGGATATTCACAGCAATCACCGATACGATTGCTTGGAACACGCTTCCACGCCCCTTATTTAAGAAGCTATTCCGACAAGATCTCATGGTTGCTGCCTTGTTCCGGAATTTCCTGCTCAGTGAACGAATCATGAGAACCCATGAATGTCATCCCATCTCTTCCCCCAAGTTACCTATCACTCACACCCACCCTCTCTGGCAGAGTTGGGATTTGGCTGTTGAAATGGTGCTCGCCCAACTTCCAGCCCTCATTGAGCAGGAAGAAGGCACTCGCCACTATGAATACCAGCATTCTCCATTCTTCGCAGAGCAACTTACAGCTTTTGAGGTCTACCTCTCTTCAGGACCCACTGAGAAAAACCCGCCGGATCAGCTCCCAATTGTACTACAAGTTCTTCTCAGTCAAGCACACCGATTACGTGCCTTGATTCTTTTGAGCGGGTTCCTTGATCTAGGTCCCTGGGCTGTCCACCTTGCTCTCAGCATTGGTATCTTCCCTTATGTTGTTAAGCTGCTCCAAAGTGCTGCTCAAGAGCTTAAACCCGTTATGGTATTCATCTGGGCAAGGATAATGGCAGTTGATCACACAGTACAGAATGATCTACTAAAAGACAATGGCATCCATTACTTCATTACCATTCTCAACCCTAATGCCCCCATACCTGTTGCAAATGTTAGTGATCATAGAGCTATGTGTGCATTCATTGTTGCCATTTTCTGCAAACAGTACCCTCAGGGACAACATGTCTGTTTGTCTCCGGATCTAATTGACGCTTGTCTAACTCATCTATTGGACACTGAAAACCCTCTATTACGCCAATGGTCCTGTCTATGCCTAAGCATGCTATGGAATGATTTCCCAGAAGCCAAATGGATGGGTATTCGCGCGTCAGCTCCGCCAAAACTCTGTGACCTTGCAACCGACCCTGTTCCAGAAGTTAGAGCAGCAATGCTACACGCTCTTACTAGCTTTATCGGAATCCCAGATCTTACCGATCAAGTAGCCCAAATTGAGGAGTATCTTGCAATGGCTGTACTTCCAATGGGCTCTGACGGTAGCGTTCTTGTACGTAAGGAATTCCTGGTGTTCGTATCAACCTTTGTTAAGAGATACCAAAACAAATTCATTGTTGCTGCATATGAACAACTACTTGAGGAGAAGCAGGTTCTCAAAACCCAGCCTGCGGGTTCTCCATTGATGCCACCTCCTCAGCCATCCGAGAACGGTGTATCTCACAGCACCGTGATTGGGTCGATCTGGAAACTGGTCCTTGTCCTATCCGTTGATCCTCACCCCGACGTTGCTCAAGATGGCGGCATAATTGTTGACTATGTACACAAAGTCCTCCTAGAATCACCCTTGGGCAACTTGGCACGTAAAGCGAGGGATGACATACTCGAATTGTTTACTCGTGCCCAGTCGAAGAAAACACAGCAGCAGGAGTCTGTTGACAATGCTAGACCCAAGACTCCTCCGAGCCAGCAAGCACCTAAACCTGAAGGGTATCTTTCCTTGAGCTTACGAAGGACCGCTAGTGTCGCAGCATCTTTGAAAAATATGGCTTTTGGATCTTCTTCAAACAGCCCACAAGTTCCTGGCTCCCCAAACTCGGCAACATTTGCTAAACCACAACATCCCAAAGGCCGCGTTACAGTTACGCCGAGGGGTCGAGCACCTGCCGAATGGACGAGGCCTCCAGAAGTGAATGACCAACGCCCATCTGCAAGGTCATACCAACAAGCACCTACGCCGTCTTCGAGAGGGTTTGAATCTAGAGATATGAAAGAAGAGCCCAACATTCCATTAGTTAGTAGGTTCTTGGATTGGTCAACAGAGGTATATATAGCTGCGTATCCCTAAAGATGCACTGGACACTAACGTTGGGATCTAGTACTTCCGAGAGCCACAGATGAAGCCCAACGAGCCAGATGAACCTGGTAGTTCAGACTATAATGAACGCTTGTGGCGACGAAGCAGGAACGAAAAAATTATCGTAGAGACGCAACCAATGAAGGCTAGAGCGGGAAGTACTCGCTGGGATAACTCTATTTCTCTGATAAATAATTCTACCCAGCCAATGAAGATGTGCTTTCATCAATTTGAGGACCATCTAGCAGTCGCTGATGATCGGGACACTATCTGGTGAGCTGCCTACTTTAGCTTTCGTGCACTTCGTCACATCTTCGCTAACTAGTACAGCATCTGGGATTGGCAATCAAACACCTATCTCAACCGATTCTCCAACGGCAACCCTCTTGGTTCCAAGATCAATGAAGTTCGTTTCATTAATGAGGACGACCAAGCTATATTAATGACCGGTTCCTCTGATGGTGTATTAAAACTATTTCGCGGCTACGAGTCGAGCAAGGACGTCAAAGTCCTCACTGCATTCCGTGCTCTACCTGAATTAATACCCAGCAATAAAAATGCTGGTCTTGTTCTTGACTGGCAGCAAGGTCAAGGGAAAGCCTTGGTAGCGGGAGATGTGAAAGTTATTCGAGTATGGAATGCAGCTACTGAAGTTTGCACAACGGTAAGTTTTCTCTTCTCAACTCAGTACTCCCAGCCTTGTCTAACTGCCAATCACAGGATATATCTGCCCGCTCTGGATCATGCATCACCTCTCTGACCTCTGACCAAGTAGCCGGCAACATCTTCGTTGCAGGATTTGGTGATGGTGCAGTTCGTGTTTTCGACCAGCGCTTGAAACCAACCACTGCCATGGTAAAAGTCTGGAGGGAACACAAACAATGGATCACCAACGTACACATGCAGCGAGGCGGCGTTAGAGAACTAGTGTCTGGTAGCCGCAATGGCGAAGTTCGACTGTGGGATCTAAGAATGGATCACTCGGTTGAGTCAACACAGGCGACCAAAGATACTCTCCGTACCTTGGGCGTCCATGAGCACGCTCCTGTCTTCACCATGTATGTTTTTGACGTATCTCACATCCACCTTTCTACCTGAAACTAACGTTTTATCTCCTAGTGGAACCAATCGCCGAGAAGTCAAAACTTTCAATGTTGACGGAACTCATCTTTCCACCTTTGAGCCCCACAGCAGCTTTTTGCATCACAGCCGTTCCTCTCCAGTCGTGAGCACCGTGTTTCACCCCCATAAAATGCTCCTGGCTTGTTCGACTCTAAACGACAACCATATTAACCTGGTTTCCTGCTGATTCGCCCAGCTTTCCGCCCGCACCCGAGGGACCCTTCGTCCCCTTCATTACTCTTGATGTCATCCTATTTTCTTTCTTGCAACCTCTCTTGATAGGGCTTCTTCGATGCATAGGATACTCCACGTTGCTCTTACCTACGGTTTTGAAACCCTTTCTAAGCAATGACCCTTTTCATTTTTTTACACTTCCGTTTCCTGCTCCCTCTTCCCCCGTTTTTTCTTGCCTTAATCTGATACTTCATTAGCATCCTGGATTCCTTAAGCGTAAACGGGTCGGGAGTTTCTCTATTTTCACAGGATAGCAGATTTTAACTCTTTTCTGTCCCTGGGCTCTCTGTCTCTGTGTTTACTCTTGCCACTACTTCTTGGAGCCTACATTGGAACCAGTTCCCACCTTTTTTCATTCTTATTTACCTTTTTTTCCCATTTCCTATTACGAGCCCATGAGTCTTGGTTACTTGGGGAAACGGCGGTTGCTCTCTTATTAATATACTTGTGAATCAATCTTCCTTTAGTATATATATTATTTCAACCGCAAGATAAATTTATTTCATTAATTACGAGCTATAAAAAGCCTGGTTGTTTCTAATAATTACAAACTGTTTTCAACTTTTTTTGGTCCCAAAGCCGCATAGGGAAGAAGAGAAATCAAAGATTCGGCACTTTGATCGTGCTTGGTATGGGTTTTCCACATTTCATGAAACTGTAAAGGAACATTATGAATTCTCGTTGTGTTACTCCCTAGTTTCTTGTCTCTGGGCCCTTGAAGGGACCAGGCTGGACATCAAAAAGACTGAAGTTACCGTCCTTGGAGGGCTCACAGCATTCATCTGGGACAGGGCCATATGGTGCGAAATTCCCTAACTGATTCTTTGGGTTTCCTTCAAGATAAGACTGGAGGTTTACAATAGCCTGGGCAAGCAATGCAGTGTTTTGCTCAGCCGCATTATAAATCTCCTTAGATTTCGTAGTGGTCGCTTTGGCATTATCATGGCTTTGCTTATTTTCCTTCATGGTAACATCTAAACGTTCGCGAAGGCCTTCATTCCAACGGTGATCCGCTCGGTACCATTTGAGGGTTTCACCTATACGTGCATTTTTTTCCGCAGCTAGCATCATATTGCGGCTCTTTGTACCGATCGGGTTTCCTTCCAAAGTCGGTGGACGTGGTTCACCAGAAGAGTGTTTTTCATCTTCAGCTAAGCCTTCAGTTTTCTTGGTCTTTTTATCAGTGTCCTCGGGGGTGTCCATGGACCAGGGAACCGGGCGATAGGCAATATCTGGTTTTATGTTCATACCGCTACCAATATTACGGCCAAATTGTGTGCCAGTGTAGTTAGTAGGAGGAGTACCCTGGTGTGTTTCAAGTGGTTGAGGAGTGCTATTCTTCGTCTCATTTGGAGTTGGAGCAGGTGAGGAAATAAGGCCGGCTTTCCGGAGATTACTGACATCCCAAGCTGGACTGTCGAAGTCGTTGGCTGTATCGCGCTTGGTATAATCAGATGGCGGCATCCCGGATGGGGCCGTCATGAGCGGAGAGGCCCCTACTTGAGCCATAGCGTCTTCACGTTCCGGACGGTGAGCCCTCGAAACTACTACAGCCCCTGAACCTGGGGCCTTATGGCTTCCTGTTTCAGGTATAGCTGCTTTAGCAGTAGCATTTGTGTAGTTGTGTGCGGGAAGGGCGGAAAGAGCACGTCGTGGAGGTTGAGGCTCGGCAGAGCCCAAGGTTTCCGTCATTGCCTTCCTCAGAGTTAAACCCTGAGTTACCTTGGGTCTAGTCACTCCTCCGTCTTGGTTGACATTCGTCCTATTTGGTTGACCGGTCACATTTTCAACATTCTCTGCTTCTGGCTTAGGTCTAGGAGGAGCGCCTATGAGACTCAGATAATGGTCTGCTTGGCTGACACTAAGCTTCGAGAAGTCAATATCGAGAGATTCGTTGAGTGACTTCTCTCCGAGCCGTTCAAACATCATCTTCTGAACGTTGAATTTTTCCTCCTGTTTCGTTGGGCTGGTGCTATCAGGACCTGGGATAAACGGGCCAATTGGGCTTGGAGGCCTGGCCTTAGGGGCAGGAGTAGGTGACGATGTTGCGGGTGCCGAGATGGTCGCATGTTTTACGTGCTTTGCATAATTCATATGTGGAACCGGACGTGGAATCGGCGGAGCAAAGGTTGGTGCTGGATAATGGGACGTGCCTGGGTCGACTGAAAACACATGCTGTCTAGGGTTATGTGTGTGCTGAGGGCTGTGATGGTGATGGCGATACTGAGAAACAAGCTCTCCCGCATGTCCGTGATTCCCTCCAGCCTCGATCCCGGCTACGTTCTGTAATGGAAGGGCTAGCACCGGATTGATGCTTCCAGCCATTCTAGGGTTCGATCTCGCGCTTGGAGCTCCATGGCTGTGGTAATACATATCTAAGTTCTTTGGATTTTCGTCACTCGAGTCCATCCCTTGTGAGGTTGCAATATTTCCCTTAGTCGTGAAAGTAGCGAGCGTAGCAAACGAGCCGGGGCGCGAAGAAAGTAGGTGACGAGTATCCTGAAGCTCGTGACTGACATGCCTTGACTGTTCTTGGGTTGACATGCTCGCTTCTGGTCCTTGTGTATGTTCAAATGGCGGTACAGTTCTATAAAAAGGGCGGTTGCGTTCCTGTGCGCGGGATAGGCCAAGTGATGACGCTGAACCAGTAGCAAAACTATCTGCCTGCCCTGCAGATTGAATATAAGAATTGTTAGCGGGGGAAGTAAGTGTAAGGTGGGAGGCAGCATCACACGGGACCGGTTGCTGGGGCCTAAGGCTGTTCTCCATATAGGAATGGTGGTGAGTATGGGTGACTAGGTCAGAATCCATCTTCTCCCTAGAAGCAGAACCGTATTTAGCTGCTTCCCCCTGGTATCCAGCTAGCCTCCCTTGTGTTCCATGGTATTGAGGTGGTGGCCCTTGTAACCTCATAGGCGGCTGAGTAAAGGTGTTTTTCTCCAGCTCCTCTACTGGATCAAAAGGGAAGGGAGGAAAAGGGACCATGTTCATGTTCTCATGCTCTCTAGCCCTAGAAAGCCGGTCATATCTATAAGGATTCATGTCTGTATCCCCTTTTCACTTTGAAACTGGTAGTTTTGAGCTAAGATCTATATTGATCTTTCACTTTATATCACTTCTAGCCTAGATATAAGATTCAACATCAGTAATAGGCCCTGCATCTGGCATATGCCTCTGTATCTGTGTCTGCTCCCACTGCAAGTCTTGGGCACGATATGTGTAGAATAATAGGGGAGACAGCTCGTTGATACTCACTGGGTCTTCTTTAGATACTTAATAGCCCTGTATCGGCGTGAATATCGCAGAGGCGGCTGGAAACTTGGTAAAGAGTGAAGCCATGAAGTTGTGAAGAAAGCAAAGAAAGTAAAGAAAATGAAGAAGGATAGAAAGTGCACGGACCACATTCTTCTTCTTCTTCCCAAAACAGCAAGAGGGCATGATATATCACGTGGCTCTTCTTTGACAAGGTGGAAGAGAAATCCGATAAAGACGCAAAAGATATGAAGATATAGGGTGAGATATAGACATCTATAGACATGTGTAGTCTTGTGAGAGTAAGGTATATAGTACACATTATAGGATCTCTGCATCTCTATGAAACATCTTTATAGCAGTGGAAGCTATAAACCTCTAGTCAGGAAGAGTGCGATAATACCCTCAAAAGGGAAAGATTCTTCCTCTATAAAAAGAGATAGAATATGTATGATATAAGAAACTGATGCATAGAATAAGATGGTATATGTTAAGATGGTTATCAGTCCCGAAGTAATTGGTTCCCATTGTTATACGTGCAATCAATGTCGAGTCAGAGGTTTCAACAGCTTCAGATTAATAATATTACCACATATAGACCTGGCCTTCTGGTATAGGACAAATGTTCCCTTTGATCCCAAGTTATTTCACCCCCAAGTGATTTCACCTATAAACAAACTGGCTGCGATGTTGAAATAAACATGAAATCTATATCCACACTTATATCACGTGATAATGATATCTTAATAATATTTGGGGTGCGGGTATTGTTCCTATGACTATCTACAATGATATTCCATATTTATTCAGCAATGTAGTCTATTTTATTCCCTATAGTATTTTCACAGCTACCCATGGTGGTGATCTTTGCTGCAAAGGCTGTCTATCCAGTATCAGCTGTGTTTTACACCCTTTCGTCGCCACGATTCTGACATCAAGCATACGTATTCCCGGGATCATGGAATATTAACCGGGGTGTGGTCCTCCGCTTCAGACGCTGCTCGAAGAGGGGGTGAGCGAAGGATACCAGACACTAAACAGGGATCGCATCAGCTTGCCTGCATTAGTCCGCGGCAAAAGAGGAGAAGCGCCAATCACTCCTTGGAACATTTGTTTTTGCGGTTCGCCTCTGTACATGGTAGCAGAGTTATTCGCAGAGACTGAATTACCAAGCCATCAACACCCACCGCTGAGTTAGCCAACAATGACATAGTTACCTATCAACTGGCCATACATAGTACAAGTATACATGTAGGCGGGAGGGTCCGTGGGGCTTCGGGCTCTCGTTAACCCTGGCCCTGCTACGTTGCATGCAGTCATCGGAAGCCAGTAACAGCAAGGAGGCAAGCTTCGCACGGAGCATTCCACCCTAAACGAACAGCTGATTAGCAACAGTCACGCCGTATCTACTCCGTACCAGACATGAATTAACCATGGGTAGCACCGAGTACATAGCTGTAAGCTCCGTACCAGTAAACACTTATTCTCACCGCTAGAAACTATGTCAGATTTCAAAACGCACTGCTGCCGTTGATGGCTGCCTGAAATATATTTCGTACCAGCCTGCATGAGCCAGACATTTTTTTTTGGTTTCTTTGCTCGCTTTTCTTCCTCTTGTTTTTTTTTTTTTTTTTTGCAAAAACAAAAAATCCACGTGAAAGCTTAAACCAGCAAAGATGATGGTCATGTGACACGCAGTCTTGCCAAGACTTTTCCAATGACGATTTGCTATTCTTTTGCTTCCAAAAGTGTCGTTGATATTTTCTTTCTCTTCTGGTCCGCCATCTTTCTACGTCAGGACGAAAGTCGAGAAGCCTGATATCTCGCCTAGGGTTGTTTCGCCATTCAAAGAGCGGCCAACTTGGCCTTCTGGGTGAAGTCAAGGTCGTACCTTTTTTTGTTTTAGCAACTCGTCCTTTATATACCCAACTCACCACCGGTCGAGTTTCCGGGTCACCTTACGCACCACCACGAACCACCGCAAAGCCACACGCCTTACCAGACTGGAATAATGCGACCTCCACAGCTCATCCTCCTTCTCATATGCCTGGTGTTCATCCCTCTCTTTATTACTACCCTGATCCGCCAGTCTGCCGGCCCAGAGCACGCCGCACCTGAATATAGAAGTTACACCGGCAAAGTTGGTCGCATACGAGACCTCTTCTTTCACGCGCCGTCTTCATTATTCCCACCTTCCGCGCTGATAAGCTTGACAGACGATAATTCGACCTTTTTCCTTGCCCGGCCTGCTGCGTTTGGACCCCCTTTACCTTCATCTGGTCTTGATGGGCAGCTGTGGGTTGGGAGTGGTTTTGGAGATAATGTCGGTAAAAAGGGAGGAATAACGACGAAAGCTGAAGGTGAATTGGGATGTTCTGATGTCCCGGGATGGGAGGAAGGAGATAGGAGGGTGCAGGCTGCAGCTGGAGGCCGCCATGGAGCGGACAAGGTGACCTCACAAGACCATCCGGGCATTATAGTCGGCGAAGATGGAAAACTCGATATTCAGAAAGGGGTCAGCACGGTTTTACCCCAAGATGATGGCAAGAAGAGTGGCCTACCAACAAAAAATGATGGAACCGATGATCACCTTCACCATTCACTGGGAGACTCCATACAACCCAGCGTGAATGACGCTAGTGGGAAGAACAAGCAACCGACCCATGCCGATATACAATCCCTACAGGAAAGTGCAGAGATTTCCGGAAAGGTGGTTCTACTTAGCCGCGGTGGCTGTGGTTTCTTGGAGAAGACCAAATGGGTGCAGAGAAGGGGAGGGATAGCCCTAATTGTTGGAGACAATGAGAGTGGTGGAGGTCTAGTTACCATGTATGCACATGGTGATACATCAAATGTGACCATTCCTGCCGTTTTCACCTCCCACACCACGGCACATCTGCTATCTTCGCTCATCCCCACAGACAAAGGTCAGGGACATGGCTCTCCGGGTAACAAGCCAAAGGCATCGATTGATGGAAAACAGAATAAGAAGACAAGCAGCAGTGCCAGTAAGGCTAGTATTGTTGCCCCTTCCTCGAAATCTGCAAAAGCAACATCATCCAAACCCAAGAACACGCCATCTTCAGACAAGGGCTTCTTTTCGTCTCTTTTCAACTTGTGGAACGACAAGTCGGTTCATGAGGATAGCAGACGACCACCCAGCAGTGGAAATATCGATTGGACTTCACAAGGCGGAAAGTCGGATTCCGTGGCCGCTTCGAAACCAAGACAAGACTCGGCCCATCAGGACAAAGATAAAGGCACGGCTGCTGTGCAAGCCAAGCCAGATCCCCATCAAAACAGTGAGGACGACTTTCTTATTGGGGTCCAGGACTGGCGCGACCCTGACCTTGTGGCTAAACCCACCACGACAACAACCGGCAAGCCACAGCCCACCAGTCAAAATGGTAACCCAAACAAGGATGGATCCGGTCCCGATGCTAAAGGCTTTAAGGGTGGGAGTATTACCCCTGGCAGTGGTGAATATGCTCATCAGGGCAAAGGCAACTTGAATGGCTCCAATAAACAGTCTTCTACATTGAAATCTGGCTCCGGCAACTCTGCAAAGAAGGTACACTGGTGGACGGGTCTATTTGGTGGAGGAAAAACAACGGATGAAAAGAACAGCGGGCTCTCAAGTGGGAGCAAAGATACACAAAACGGCGGAGGACCCCATAATAAGCATGGCCACCATGATGACAAAGGGCCTGAGAAACATGAAGGCTTATGGGTTACCCTAGCTCCAACCAGCATGTCTACCAGCCCATTCTTCGACACCCTTTTAGTTTTAGTTGTAAGCCCCTTGATCACGCTCACCGTTGTTTATGCACTCCTCCTACTTCGTTCTAGAATTCGTCGACGAAGATGGAGAGCACCGAAAGCTATCGTTGATCGACTTCCCGTCCGAACTTACCATACAATTACAAGCAGCTCCAATTCAAGCACACCTCCCCGTACAGCAGTGCCGGACTCTGCTTCCCCTTCATCTCCTCTCCTTGCACGCTCAGAATCGAGAGCTCGCTTTTCCACCCATGTGGATGCTACTGCATCAAATTCATTGCCTAATATGACAGATATCGGCACTGAGAAATCTAATGCTGGATCGACACTGTGGCGACGGAAATACACTGGCCGCCAGGTGGAATGTGTTGTGTGTCTCGAAGAGTATGTCGACGGGCAGAGCAAGGTCATGAGCCTGCCTTGTGGCCATGAGTTCCACGCAGAGTGCATGTAAGTGATTTTTATATGAAAATACTCCTCCGTTAACCTCTAGTGATGTGGAATAATAACCTTACTAACGAGCTTTACCACATAAGAACACCATGGCTTACAACCCGACGACGCACCTGTCCAATATGCAAAGGCGACGTTGTTCGATCATTTGGAAACCATGGGTCCAACGACTACGACTCGAGCAGCCCAGACCCTTCGTCCAGCTTTGATCAAGCACGGGCGCTCGAGGACCACAGCGGATTCCCCTCGTCCGCCATCCCTATTCCAGATCATGAAAACACAGAATCCGAGTTGGAGCGAGGTGCACTACTTGGAGATGCCCTCAACGCATCCAATCGATCTACTTGGAGAGGCCTTACGTCCTTGAGCCTTTCCGCTTTAAGTGGTGATTCAATGTGGCAACAAGTCCGACATACACGATCTCAAAGGAATCGTTGATCAGAACAACCTCCTCTCGCTTCGCTCATACCCGCTTTTAGGATAATCCAGTTTCCTCTCACCCCAGTCCCTAATTCCACGCTTTCCTTTGTACATCATATGTCTCCACTTATACCCCATCGTGCTACTCAATGATTCCCAGCCCTTTTCCATCCTGTCCTCTTTTTTCGTCTTGCTCTTTTTGCGGCTTTCTTCTACCCCTTCTTATATCGATTGGTTTTAACGAGCCCTTGGAGGCCAGCGAGAGCTTTGGGTGTTTTGAGTGCGAAATTGAAACTGAAAATAACAGTGGGACTGCTTTCCTTTGATAGGACAATCCTAACTTAAAGAAGATGGAAGTGAAGCAACCATGGTAGCCGGAGCAAAGACAGGCTTCGGTTTCCCTGCCCCCAGATAACTAGTATATGAATGTCTACTCTATACCTTGAACAGAAGTCGTACCCTGTTGTCTTTCTTCCCAAAGTCTTCAAACATCCCCGAGTTCATCCTTATGACCTCAATCCCGAACCCGATATCACGTGAATCCGTTAGTTCCCGAAGCTCGAAAAAAATGTCGTCATAAAAACTCCAAACCAACAAACATCGACGTCCTCACGGTGTACATAAACTGCGCCATCTACACCATCAGCGCCGGGACAACATCCACACTCAGATCTCGTTGAATTATTGCTGTAATCTAATTCATTCGTGGTATACCCTCCATATCACAACGACATGGAACGATTAAACCGCACCATTCAAGAGGAACTACGCAGCTTCCTAGCGCTGGTCAAAGATGGATTGTGGTCTGGCGCATACATCTATCCCTTCCAGGTAGACCATACCAACCTACCTACTAAAACCTCTCTAGTATCTCTATAAAACCTTCGACTAATCCAATTAACATGACGTGGTTTCTCGGCGATGACAGGGCATCGCCTACTTCCTATCTCACCCGTCTCTATATAAACCGATGCTGTCGAAACTCGCGCCAACAGTAACGTTGAGTCTCGCCGTGACGAGCGCCATGTTTTTTTTCACATATATACCCCAGGCAGCCATTCTAGCCCTTACTTCCGGTCCTCTCATAGCACCCTTCTCAGCAGCACTTCTAGTTCTTAGCGAGAGTTCAACTATAATCACCTATCTCGCGAAATCAGGCTATGTATTCGACCAGGATACCATACTTAACTTGTTCGATGGCACGTTACTTGCCTGCGGTAACGAGAAATTAGTATCCAAAGACCGTAAAATAAGGCCTGCCTCTGACCCCATGGCTCGACTTGGACACTTCCTTAAGAAGGGCGGTGGCTCGCTGATGAACGCGATGAGCTTGTCAAATGCTTTCAGGTCACTTTTGTATCTGCCGCTGAATTTCATACCGGTGGTGGGAACATTAATGTATATTGGAACCCAGGGGGTGAGGGTTGGGCCGCTTCTACATGCAAGGTACTTTTATTTGAAAGGATGGGGCTCAAAGGAAAGGGACGGGTGGCTCGAGAAAAACAGAGCTGCGTATGCGAGGTAAGCACCGCAATATTCTCCATAAACGGAGTAGTATCACCTCCTTGAGAAGAGACGATGTCTGATTAACAATGGATAGTTTCGGTGCTGTCGCTGTTGTTCTGGAGATGGTCCCCTTTGCATCTCTCTTTTTCACATATACGAACACTGTCGGGGCTGCTCTCTGGGCTTCCAGGCTCGAAAAGACTTTTGCAACCAAAACCAGCCTACATGGTGCCACCGAGATGAAATCAATGTGATAACAGCCAATGTCTATTTGATGATAGTGGGAGGTGTGGTCTTGTTCCTTTTTTTGCATGGATTACCATAGCTTGTGCTCCAAGGTCTGCGTGTAGCAACTTGAGGTGTGATCTTTTTGCACTAGGTATCAGAGGCAGGCTTCCCCCATAGGTATATATACGCCTTCCACCTGCCTCGTCAGAAAACTGTTTTTTATCGCTTTTTACCTGTTTATCCCGCTACGATTCTAATAACGCTGCCATGGCCTGGTTGAGCATGGAATATGGATCAAACAGGTAGGAATGTGTGGTTTGTCATGGTTAATAGTTAACTCCTAACAGTAACTAGAACAGCAGAATTTCCAAAGACCAAAACGGCTTGAGATGGCGTAGTCAATAGACAGGCCAAGTTCTTGAGCATAAAAATCGATGCCCCATGATATAAGATACAACGTAAAAATAGACCTACGTTCGATGAAAGAACGCAAGTACCCATATCCCAGCTCGGCAAGTACTCGATATACAGAACGTTATCCCCCAAGGCTAATATCCCGTGTGTTTTAATCATTTTCTCGAGCGGCCCCAGGCACTAGGTAGGTTTGGGAGGTTCGATTGCGGGTTTCCCAGAAGTTTTATCCTCAGTGTCACAATCACCAGAGACACAGTTGCCAACGCCTGTCACAACTAGATATCAGTATACATATACAAGGTAATATGTATGACACCAAATAACACTTACCACACCATGCTGGTCCAAATCCACACCACCCGCTAGTGCTGCAACAATTTCCAAATGGTGAGCCCACACAGATAATATGGTCATTGCAAGACCCATCCTTGCTGATCATAGTGGAGTTTCCACCACCCGTCGGGAGAGGATTTTCATCTTTAGTATGCGTAGGTTTTCCTTTATCACGGTCATCATCTTCCATGTCCTTAGGTGGCTCGTCACTAGACTTCTCTTCAAATGGCTCTTTGTTTGATGGCTTTTCGTCTGGTTCTGTTCGAGGCGAAGGGGGAGTGGTGGCTTCGGGTTCACATGGCTCACATCTTCCCTGGTCATTGCACTATAGAGTGGTTTAGTAAAGAATAATAGACGTGCTTCTTTTAAATGGGCGATCTTACACACCTATTTCCAAACGGTTTGGTTAATGATTAACTATTACTTTAAATTGGCCACAATCACTTACGATCCAAAGGGAGATCCGTTGCAGGTAGCGTGTGCATTGTTATCTCCACAGTTTCCGTCTACTGCCATGGGCCTCGGGGAGACCGGGGCAACACATATGGCGAAGTTTGCCCACAAGTTCTCACAGTCTGGGTGAAGCTACAATATATGTTAGCAAAATTTAGGTCGAAACGGCCGTCAAAATATTCAAAGCCCTTGAAGCTTACCTTAGGATTGTACTCTAATAGTTCATCCATCGTTACTTCGCTATTCAGGGGTTAGAAAAACATAGGTCTTAGAAAGGAGCACCGTTATCTCTTACAACTCAGCGGAGATTGCATTGCACTATGTAATGTAACTAGTTAGCAAGTAAACTGAAAGGTACGGACATTTATAACGTACAGTATCACCTGGAACTACATTATAATATTTACCACAGGCTTCAATCGCTCCTAGTTGCGTTGTTCTATCAGGAATTGCTTAGAATACGTTAGCAGAATTCGGACATATTAGATCAAGGGTTAAAATACCGGTGGTGTAGAACGTCTGTAGAGCTCTGGGTGCAGAGCCACGTCTAGCAATAGCCTCTTCGGTGACGGTTACTGCTGGAGGCTGAGTATATCTGAATACCGTCGAAGCACCGACGCCATAGCCGCTATCTAGTGTTGTAGAGGCTTTAGCCCTCAGTACTACTGTTGGGTCTGGTGTTGCCTGTGGCAGTTTTGTAGAACAGGCGGCTTGCAATCTATTAAACTGCTCGGTAAAGTGATCCATAAGATTGCCTTGAGGGAAGACAGGAGACTCGATCCGCTGCCTCCAGAGAAGCATGAAGCACTCGCTGCAGTACTAGACGTTGAAGTTAACAGCATGCAAAACGTGGGTTCGCCAAGGTAAGGCGTCCATACCAGTTCTTTATTATATGCATTTGTCACAATTAAGGTGTCCGCATCTCCTTCAGGGTCCTTTTTATCACAATCAGCGGGTGGATTCTCGCCACCGCAAGCAACTGGTTTTTTATCCCAACTATATAATGGTCAGTTTAGGGCGGCATTTATCCAAGCACTGAGAGCTTGTGTACCTCGTATACACACTGCTATCCCAGCTCTGCGCTTCATAAAAACACCAATTATCGTTGCTAAGCTGCGGTATCAGTACTCGTTCAGGGTTCGAGAGCCAAAGAAAAATTACCTATCCTGTAGACAGGCCAGGTCGAACCCCGATATATATTTCAACGGGAATGCCTTTGGATCAACGATGAGCCCATTCACTACTAGTTCCTCTCCATCGCAGTTCTGCTCCACAACCTCGAGCCATGTTGTCAATGACTTTGAGCAACCGTCGGTGCAAAGCGTCGTCAGGTTTTCCATAGACCAGGTTACTAGAGATGGAGTCGGTTAGATATTTCACGGAAATGGATGCATTTACATACAGTCGCTTTCTGAGTTTTTCGTAGCCCTAACAGCATTTGGGCCATCACACTGGACGGTGTAGTTTCTTGAATATATGTTAGTCCTGCAGCAGCCATAATAGAACAGGGGATAGTACAGAGCCGAAAGACACTCAGGAGACACGCCGAGCGACGCTCTGAGTGCTTCACGATCATGCAGTGCGTAGACGTTGAATGCTGCGATGGCGGGAGAAGCCAGGGCCAGAACGCCTCCAAACAGCTTGGACTGCCTCATTCTGGGAGGCCGGATGAGAGGGTATAGATTCAGAGTAGAAAGGATCAGGATATGAGAAAGTAAACAAGCATGCAATTACCGATGGATACTATCGTATGCGAACATAAGAAAGGGAGAGACATGCGAATAGATGACAACGAAGGTATAACAAGATAAACAAATAGCCAACGAAGGGATAAAAGGAAAGCGAGAGCCATGTACATCAGATATATAGAAAGGCGATTCCAGGGTATCAAGATAAACAGTAAGAAGTATCGAGTAAGAAGTATCGAGTAAGAAGTATCGAGTAAGAAGTATCGAGTAAGAAGTATCGAGTAAGAAGTATCGAAGGGTTTTTTTTCTTATGGGGGCGAAATATAACGCCGTATAAATGCAGGAATAGAAGAGATCGAAAAAGGGTAAAGAGGGATATCATCATACAATTAAAACACCTGTGAGTAAACTCCTCCGTCCGGCCACTTCGTTAGATGAGTAGACTCCCCATCCGGCCACTTCGTTAGACGAGTAGACTCCCCGTCCGGCCACTTCGTTAGAGATCATCTGTGGCCGAGAGAACAGAGGCTCGGCTGGCATGGCGGTCGTGGAGGCGGCGGGATATGCAGCGTGCTGGCATCGAACTCCCACGCCCCTATCCTCGCCTTTCTGTCCTTGTAGAGCTGCCACGGAGTGAGGCACTCCTCGAGCCGGTTGGTCCATCGACCGGAGCCCTTGTTGGCCGCCCACGTCACATTGGACGAGTTGTATGCCTTGGTGACGGAGCTCCGCCGCATGGATTCGTAGACGCCAAAGGCCTCCCTGATCGGCTGGTAGATGTAGAGTGACAGGACGCGGGAGAAGAGGATGGCATCGTCCAACGCGTATGCTGCGGACTCGTCTCTCGGAGGCATCTACAGTCAAAGATACAGTCAAAGATATGGTCAAAGATATGGTCAAAGATACAGGATGAAGACATACCGCATGAGCAGCGTCTCCTAACAGTAGAGTCCGCTCCGTGTACCACTTCCTGTCCGGCGGCAGCTGGTAGACCGGATACAGCGCCCAGTTGGTAGACTTCTCGATGATCTCGCGGACGCAGGGAATCGCACAGTCGCCGAAGCGTCCGCAGACCTCGTCCCGCAGCCGCTCAGAGGTCGTCCGCCGGTGTCTCGTCGTCGAGCTGCGGTACCGCGGGCTGGAGGACTCGCTCGAGATCTCGGCGGCGTCGACCTCGGCCAGCGCGGCGACGAAGATGTCCTCCTTGGTGCTGTGGTAGTAGGTGGTGAGCAGGCCGCCGTGACGGGCGCGGTTCATCGCCGTCGTCTCGAAGTGGACGGGCGCCGCGATCTGGCTGGTCTTGATGGTCGTCTGGATGAAACAGACGCCGGTGTACTCGGACAGCGTCGACGGGTCGACCAGCCTCATCCTCGTCGGCGAGTGCACGCCGTCGCAGCCCAGGGCCAGGTCGCCCACGGCGTGCGAGCCGTCCTCGAAGAAGATGGTCACCGTCTGGCCGGACTCGATGCCGTCGATGACCTTCTTCCCGAACTGGACGTCGATGTTGCTGGCCTTCTCTGCGGCCGCCAGCAGGGCCAGGTGAAGAGATATCCGCATCACCCGCCGCGCCTTGTATCCTCCGTACCCTCTGCCATCCTTGCCTGAGAAGTCGACGCGGCCGAGCCGCCGGCCTGAGTGGATCGAGAACAGCTCGACCTCCTTCACTTCCACTCCGCCGTCGGCCCCCATCCGGTCGAGCTCCTTCAGCACCCCCAGATGGTTCAGGTGTCTCTGCGCCGCCGGGTTGAGGTTGATCGCCCCTCCAGACGTCGACGGGACGTGGTGAAGCTCGAAGATGGTGATCCTGAGGCCAGGCACTTTCGGCGAGAGCTCCTTCGACAGAGCCAGCGCGGCAGCGATGCCAGCTATGCCGCCGCCCAGGACGAGGATATTGCGCGGTGGTGCCATTATTCCAGCTACAGCAGCTTCAGCTTCAGCTTTTTCGACCAGCTATAGAAGGAGAGTCAGAGGGCGAGAGGACATGATACTCTCTTTCTATCCTCCTTTCCCCCTTCTCCTCCTCTCCCTCCCCCCTTTGTATCAGGGCCGTGGGAGGGATACATATATACATGCACCTACATAACATTAACTACTCGGAAACTCCTCCTTGGATCCCCCAGCCGACAGGGATGGCATAGGGAAAAGGCACTTCTTTAGGGCCAGAAGTTATTATGGATCATCAACCCGGAAGCTTCTTTGATGTTTACTTTTTTTCCTACCTCACATTCTTCTCGTTTCTTTTTCATATCGAGAAAAAAGGAAGAAGAGCGGGAGAGGCCTTTGTTATTCGCTGGATACTCGCTGGATACTCGCTGGATACTCAGGAGGCCAGAGATCGTCGATGTCGAGCAAAAGACGTCGCCGTTGAGAGACATCCATGTCACGGTGCCTGTCACCCTTCGCCTTTTATTGCTTTTTACTCGCTCCATTTCTTCTGGTGTTTTCTCTTCCGACTTGGCGAAGCTGTGGAGTTCTTTTTTTTCTTTTATTTTACCGTACGGGCTCTTCTTTTTGACCTGCCTTTGCCTTTTTTTAAGGGTCGAACGGGTTTCAGCATCTGCGAAATATGCAGAGATTTTCTTCAGCGCCAGGCCAGGATCAAGCCAACGGGCATGTGAAATTATGGAGTGTGTGAAAAACCAGATCTAAACATAGACTGCATGGGCAGCCAGACTGCATGGGCAAAACAAGGCATGGCCCGAGGAGTTGTACATCTATCTGTACGGCAATGGATTCCCTCTTCGCCGCAACGAACTATACCTTCGAACCACTTTTTCGGCAATGTTCGAGTTAAATACGCCTCTTCTTTGAGCAATCAAACGCCCTGATCTTGGTGCCGACGCCTCCCCCGAAGCAAGCTTGCGACTATCTTCTCTACGTCATCTGGGGGGCCCCCCCTTTCGTAACGCAACTCTTCCCTTAGATTCAACACGATTCCCCGGTGATGATCGTGTCAGTCTCTTCGTGGTTCAACGACAGCTGTCCGTATCCAGCTTGGCCCATCAGCCCTAGCTTCCCCGGACCCTAATGCTTCAGTAGTCGAATTCTCTCACACCCCCTTTAGCGAGACTGGTTGGATACGTTCTCTGCCAATACGGATCTGTCTTTTTTCACGCATCAGAAAATTATCATAACCCCCGACGGTCTGTGTGAAAAAAAAAAAAACCTGCTGGTAAAAACCGAACTATATGCTTTGAATATGCTATAATCTCTCCGTGATATTGACAAGGTGGAATGATGTGACTTGAGGAACGTGCACCCCGTCATTGCACTGCAGCGAATTATACACATAGCCCGGAAGTTGAATTCGTTCGCTGTCCCGGTTGGTCACGGAAGTGCTGAAACATTTTACATTTTTTCTTGTGAATCAATATTGATAGGTGGCAAGGATCGTTCATTTTATATACATCGCTAACAAGGTTACAGGCCATCACGCGGTTGATTGGCGTCTCTACAACGCCTAACCCTATACCTAAACTATCATCCAGCTATCGATATTTTCCTTTTATCTTCCACCACACACCCTCTCTCTTAGCGATGTGAGGAGGCAAAAGGCGGGGGAAGGAGATTTCTCTCTGAACCCTAATGGGCTCGGCGAATACACGGCATAATCGGAGTGAACTGTTTCGTGTTGCTGCTTCAAGAGTGGGTTGGCCAGAACAAGAGCGTGCCCCTTACAGAAGCCTAGGGCGTTATCAATAATCCCACCTTGATAATGCGCCTACATGCCCTTCGGATAATATAAACCGTCAGGGATATGGCGGGTGGGCGGAAACTTCATAACTACATATGCACTCACAGCATATGATACATCTGATAAATTAGATGAAGAGCAGAAGACAGACGAATCTAGTTCGATGAGCTCGAGCACTCTAAAGAGAACCGCTCGCTTCAGTATAGTCGAGTATTCATGCTTAAAAAAAAAAAAGAGATTCGTAATAAAAGAAAAGAGAGAGAGGTACAGGTATAATAGTAATATTCACAGGAGACGCTCGGACGAATTTGTCAATAATTACATGGCAACGAAGAAGCCTTGAAGTCGCTTCTCCCAAACCATGACCAAACTTCAAGCAGCTGAAGGAACCAGAAGCAAAGACATGCCGGGGAGAAGGGTGAAAAGATGGTGGGGGATAGGCTCAGAGACGAATTTCCAGCAAAAAATGCCCACAAAACTAAGAAAGGCATTAGAGAAGAAAAGAGTAAGAGGGAAAAGACATCAAAAATGGAAAAAAATGGAACAGTGAGGCAAAGGAAGGAATTGTGGTTGGGTAACAGACAGATAGGAGAGGGATGCCGAGTTTGCAGTATGAGAGAGATATGAAAACTCGTGGATGGTAAACAAAAAAATAATTACCGGCTTGGTATCAGGGTCCGGGATATCGAGAAGAAAGCGGGAAAAAGGTCGTTAAGGCGTCTGGCTGAACCGATAGGTATCGTTGGCGGTTTGATCCAATGAAACTTGGGGTGAACCAGTAGGAGTACAGTCAAAGTTAAGGGACAAAAGAGAATCGAGAGCGCACGCGCAACCACTTGGACGAAAAAAAAAGGAAAGAAAAGCAAGAGGAAGTAATTAAAGAAGTCCATCCGTTAGAAGGTCAGGGGTTGCCGGGTTCACGGATGGCCAAAGAGTCTTGCGCAATGCTCGGCCCAACAAGCTGCGGTCCCTGCGGAGAAAAAAAGAAATAAAAAAAAAAGGTAGTAGAAAGTCGTAGAATATTGATAACATGACGATGGGACAAATGGAAGGGTATCATGATCATTCGAAAGCAAGTTAATATAACGAATCGGTTATCGTTCGATTTTATGCCAGCCATTTAGGTACGCCATTATCCCGACTCCAATCAAAACAACACCAAGCATGGAAGCATATGGTGCAGACTGCTCAAGCAACGCTGAGCTCTTCTGCCGCTGTTGCTCCGCGAAAGCTGTCGCTGCAACTTCGAGCTCCCTTAGTTTCTCCGGGTCGATAGAGTGACAGGTCTCAACCACCTCGTTAACCTTAGATGGATTGGCTATAGATTCCTCGTTGGGTGGGGCGGCGGTGGCGGTGGCATCGTGGGTTTTTGACCCGTCCTTCACCCGCAGAGAATTCTTGGGGGCTGCCGCATTTTCTTGGGCTTTCTCCAGTCGGATCTTCTCGATCATCTCTGTGAGAGTTTTGCGGCTCTCAGCAGCCTCCTTCTCCGCCCGCTCAGCAGATTCCTTGTACTGGTTGATTTGCTTCTTCGCGGTCTCCATTTCAGCAAGCAGCGAGTCAATACGGCGCTTCAGCTCGTCCGATGTAGGTTCGAGAGTTATAGGGGATGTATGCACCTCCTCAGGGCTCGCAGACGGCTTCGTGTCTGTTTCCTCAGGAGGTTCAGGAGCAGTGTCGACCAACGCCTTGTCTTCCTCCTCAACCGCATCCTCGTCTGAGCCAGCATGGGTTCCGTTCGGAAGCTGGGCCTGGCTGGGAGGTCGGTTCTCTAATTTCCTGGCACGCTCTTCAGCGCTCTCACGAGCACTCTGTTCACGGCGTAAGAGATTCTCGAGCTCCTTCACCTTGCTGGCTTGCAAATCTAACTCTTTCTTGGTGGTCGTTAGGGCTTCAATCAACGAAAGTATCTGACTTGATTGGGCGGGCGTGATATCGGTTGCAGCTTTGGCCTTTTCAGTATCACTTCTCCTCAACGACATCTTCGGAAGCGAGTCGGTAGAGAACGTCCGCGGCGGGGCATCAGGCTTTTCGGGCAGAGGCTGTTGAGGAGGTGGTGCAGGAGGATCGGAGAATCTCGACATTGAATCATTTTTGTTCAACTTGGGGCGTCCAGATGGTTTTGCGCCAACGGGGCTCTCGGCCACATTGTTAAGTAGATTTGCTCGTTCTTTGTTGGTCGTCTCCGGGTTTGATAAGCTATTGAGGAAACTAGAGGTCTGACCAAGGTCGTGGTTCTGCTGTTTTGCTTGTTTCATCTCGCACTGAACAATGGGTTAATATAAAAAACGGAACAAAAAAAAGGTCAAAAAGAGGGCAGCCATACAGTGAGCTTTTTCACAACCTGCTCGATTGAGATTGGAGAAGACCAGTAGTTCATCTGTCGCTGCTGCTGAAGGAGGTTTATATGACTCCCTGGCAGGCTCTGGCCTGACCGTGCACTTGCCGCACTTGCGGTAGAGGATGAACTTCCGGCTCGGCCACGCATATGAGACAAAGGCTGGCTCAGATGATGTGGGAGGAGGCCACCACCTGTTGTTGGATCAATGTCACCAAAGTTCAAGTCCAAGATGTTCATGTTAGGTCCATGGATGCCTGCATGCTCGACTTTTGCTGAAACCTTGTGGTGGACGATTGACTTTTGGTCTTCACTGATGATGTCGATGCCGAGTTCCAAGACGTCGTGTTCCCGTAGCTCATGAGGTTCCGAGTCTCTGTTCTCCGGCGACAACCTTTGGCCATTGACAAACGTTCCGTTAGACGACTTTACATCCCTGATCCAGATCTTGCCCGCTCGGTCAGACCAGACCTCGGCATGTTGTCTCGACAGCACCTTTGAGTCAAAGTATCCGTTGGCGGGGGTTGGAAGTGTTTTGGCGTTGGTCTGGCGGCCGATACGCAGCACCTCTGGGAAATACGGTACGTTTATCTGTTTCCGTTCAAAGGTACCGTTTATGGGTAGCAGGGCGAGTACTACTGCAGGCTCATGGGGGGGTCTGTTTCCCGGCCGTATTCCATTCTGCTGTGGCGGCATGATATGCTGCAGGGGAACCATGGGAGGCGTCTGGTGGAGGGCAGACATTGCCGAAGACGCAGAAACTCCCGAAGGCGGCACGGACACGGTCTGTGGCCGGGTGTTGGTCACGCCCGAGACAGGATCCGCCTTTGAGCTGGACCAGGTGTACCGTGACGGTTTCTTTCTGGTGGTTGCGTTGGAAGAAGAGTCTGTGCCCTGAGCTACGGGGCCAGAAACACCATTACTCTGTGGCTGCGAGGGCTGGGTCGATGTGACCGTAGAGGCCGAGGAGGTCGAGGAGGCGGAAGAAGTCGAGCTTGACCGCTGGATGCTCTTGCGTGGCATCAACATTCGCGAGACCTCGTCTGCACTCATTGAGGTAAGGGCACCTTGTCCACCGTCACCAGTCGGGTACCATCCTAATCGAGGCGCAGACTGCACACTTGGTGGCGACGCAACAGCAGTCATGGAGAGAGAGCGGGTGTATATGCCGTATATCTGAGAGGGCCTCCTGTCGAGACGTGTCTCTCCTGTCCACTTATAATAAAAGGGGAGGCGGTCGAGAGTCGAGAACGCAGTCCGGATCAACCAGTATTCGACCTAGACTGAGCACTGAAGGGCTATATCGATGGCAACATAGGGGAGATGGAGTGCCGGAGACGGCCGCATGCGGTGAACTATCGTTGAAAAATAAACGGTGTGAATAACCTCAGGAAGTTGATAGGATGGCATATTACAGCCTTATGTTTTAATTGGAGAAACCACAGGATCTAACATACCGAGAAGGCAAACAGCAAGTCTATGGGCAAAAAGGAGAGAAAGATCTATAGTGAGTCGCGTGTCTTTTTTCTTTGGGTGGGAGGGTTTTTTTTTTTATCTCGTGTATAATAAGGATGTGAAGCAAGCAACTGGTCACATTAAACCCACCGGGCAAGAGTCCCAGAAAAAAGAGCAGAAGCAAACAGCGTAGAGAGCGAGGAGATGAAGCACCCAAAGTCACCTTCACTATCACTCAGTGAACTTGACCTCAAAACATCTCAACCTGACGTCCTTTTTCTCTCTCTCTTTTTTGTCCCTTTTTTGCTTCTTTTTCAAGTTTTGAAGTTGGTCGTTTTTTTTTTGATGACCCAGAATGGAAGTCACATGATGGGTTGTGGCCAATAAGAAGTTGCTTAGTCATGACGATGAGAAGTTGAAGTTGGACATGAGAAAGAGAAGATAGAAGATACTAAGATAGTGAGAGAGAGAGAAGTCAGTGAGACAGTGAGACAGTAAGATAGTGAGAGATAGTGAGCTGGAAACACCAAGATGCCTCCGGTTATGCCATCGGGAGGTGGCCAGATGAGGGCACCTTCAACGTTTGACAAGAGTATGCTGTTCCAAGATGAGATGAAGAAGAGAGAAGAAGCTAACGGATGCAGTGAAAATGGGTGCTATGATGGGAGGATGTAGGTCTACCAGTTGACATCCTACTCGACACGCAGACAGGGAGCTGACATGCTTACAGCTGTTGGCCTGATCATGGGCTTCATCATCGGTAAGGGATCAGCTTCCCCCCAGACAGACACACAATGTCCAGATAACTGATGAACAAGCCAGGAACCGTCTCGATCTTCCAGTACGGCGCCGGTCCAAACGGTATAATGCGCACTCTAGGCAAATACATGGCTGGTTCCGGAGCTACGTTCGGGTAAGCAGACCGGTCGACTATATATACCACTGTCAACGTCCATGCTAACTGCGAACAGCTTCTTCATGTCCATCGGCAGCGTTATACGGACAGAGGGCCACGCAGACGCCTACAAGATGTGGTCTGCCGCCCACCGACGACCGATGCTCATCCCAAGCCAGTACCAGAACCATCCTCGCGTCCGGAGAGAATAGGCGCAGTGAACCAGAATCAGAACCTGAACCTGAGCCCGAACCAGTGAACCATGTACCACCCCGTCTTTTTTTCCTTCCTTTACTTCGACACTTGTACAACAGCAGCGAGAAGGGGAGATTTCTGGATTGAATAGCGACACATGACATTTAATGAAACGGCGTCTTCTCTTCCCCCCTCTTTCCATGAATATCATCTTGGCCTATGACTTGTCAGAGTATACAACCTCTCCGTCCAATGCACTCGTCCTGGCGGTAAGGCTGAGACCAGTGCGATGCGGCTCTACTATGTAGACCCTCAGCTCTATATAAAAAAAAGCGTACCAAATACGGGAAACAACGGTGAACTCGAGTAAAGAATACGTACCAGCCTTGTCACTCCTGTTATTCATGTTACTGCTGCTGTATTAATATTAATAATAATAATAATCATGCGAGCGATCAGCAAGGCCGAGCTGTGCGACGGAGGACGGGGATATCAGGGATAATGCAAACCAACAAGGTCGCATGAATAAGATGATCTCCATATTAAACCAAGTAAGGCCCCTTACCCCCTTCGTAACCAACATGGTATTTACTAACAGTAACTTGACAGGTAAGCAGAAGCAAGCAGACCGCTGTACGATGTACGAGGCGCCACGAAGTCCGTTGGGCTGCATTGCCAACACAGCGAACCTGACAGAGCGAACTTGGAAGAACAGACAGGAAACGGCATGAAGCGGAGTGAGAAACAGGCCCCGACGAAGCCGGAGAAGCTGAAGACTTTCAAGAAGGCATCTCAGGGGTCGCCGTCGTCCGTCGTCTGGGGAGATTGCGCTCTCCACCGTCAACAGATAACGAAGCTGCATGAAGAAAAATTTGCGTGCTTATACCGACTTCTCACCGTTTGAGTAACCACCAAGACGACCAATAACCTCGTCTTCTTCCAGTAGGGAAAAAAGCAAAGGTTACGAGGATATGTACAGACAGACTGGCAGGGCGGCTCCAGAGGCTCCCACGTAGCTTTCTCTTCCCTGGCTTTTGAGTGAAAAAAAAGAAGAAAAAGCAAAAAAGAGTCTCTCTGCTTCGTATTTTATATGACTAGCGCCAGGAACAAGGCAAGTTCATTTTTTTAGTGACTTCTTGTCTCTTTTATATTAAAGTCGGCCTAAGGGGGGATCCCTTTTTTTTTCTCCTCTCTTCTCTTCCTCTTTTTCTCCTACTTCTTCTTCCTCTTCTTCCTACAACCAAGTCATTCCTTTGGACACACAGTCGCTCTTTACGCTCCTTTCCAGCTTCAGCTCTCACGCTCTTTGCATCGTCTTTTTTGCTCTTACGCTCTTTTGCGACTTCTTCCCTCCTTGCGACAAGCCACTGTAGCAGTACGCGCCCGACTCTCTCTCTCGCGCTCCCGAGACTCTTCGTCTATAAAGCACCGCTCAGTGACTCGTTCAATTCGATAACTTCTTCAATAACAAGTCCATCGACTCCATCTTCAAAATGCGCTTCTTCATCACTCTCATCTCTGCGCTTCTCGTGCTCTTCGCGCCCTTCTCTGCCGCCAGCAACGACGACGCCGTCTACTCCACCTCTACCCAGACCCAGACAATCACCGTAACCGTCATCCACTCTGTCTCTTCATCTACTCCCAGCGTCATGCCTCCTCCAGCCGGCGCCAACAGCACTGCTCCTTACCCATCGTCCACCATGATGACCAAGACCTGGGGCACTGGCACCGGCACCGGCGGCGTGCCTGCTCCCACTGGCTTCCCGATGCCTCAGCCCACCTTCAGCAACTCTGCGCCAGGATCGCCCATCAGCTACGGCTCCGCTCTACTCGCCGGATGCCTCGCCATCTTCGTTGGCGCTGCTCTATAGATCTGAGCATAGGCATGTCAATGCGCCCGCCTGTGTATCTATGCGCCTTGACAGCCTCTTTTCTTCCTCTCCTGGGCCGATTTTACGGACATTTTTAAACTCACCTCTATTATCTTTCTTCTTCTCTCCTCCCCCCCTTTTTCATGGGCCCAGGAGGTATATTTTTTTGACGATTTCCGACCCCTTGTTACGTTATATGGATAGTCACATGCCCACACTTTTCTCTATTCTTCTTCAATGACCTTTTTATCTTCTTCTACATACCCCCTTTACATACCCCCTTTTTGTTATCTTCTTCTTCTTCCGTGAGTGAACATGCTGGCTCTGGCTCAAGTCAACTATACGCACCACACCACATGAGAGTTTGAACATTCTTCACCCACTTTACTCCCTTCCCCTCCCTTTTTTTTACATCTCTATCTTTTACTTTCTTCCAGGGGGAAGGGTACTTTACTATATCCACCCTCCTCTAGCCTGTCGGTCATAGGAGTCCTGGTACTTACTTTTCTATTCTACTTCTACGGGCATTAATCATGTAATATGACATGTTCTTGGACAGTAAAATTGGTTCTTCCTATACCCCCTTTCTTATTCTTTTATTTGACGAAAAGCTATAACTATACATAAAAAAAAATGAAAGTAGGATACTTTGTTCTTCTTTCACCTCTGTAGCACACAACGTAGAAGTAGAAGATAACATTTACGTAGCATGGACATCCCCTGACTTCGTTGATCCATGCTGCATAACGTGAACATGGTGCTAAAACGGTGGACTCCCATAGCCTGGACTTGATGCAGACTTGATGCAAGATATATGCAAGGCAACCCAGTTTATCTCATGCCATAGTGCAACATAGTATATTGTCAAATGTTACACTTAGTCAGCAACGTAGTTAGATCACGTGCACTCCCTCTGACTCTTCAAGCTCACCAATATACGTACATTTACACCCTTGTATACGTTCAAACTCATCCAGCCAATCATCATTCGCTGCTCTTGCTCATATTTGACATATACATACTCGGTTTGGCCCGCCTGCCTCCCTCAGCTGGTTGCCTCGAGGTGGCTTTTTGATAAGGTAAAAGAATCAATATAGAGATCGTGATGGAAGAGGATGTTGGTGGTCAGCTTTTTGCACGCGTCGAAAAACAAAGGCCTAAATAGTTTAAATAATTATCTTAAAAGTCAAAAATCTTCCGAGGAACAGAAGCTAAGTGACTCTGTCCTATCCGATGAAGAGAAATGATACCCTGACGAAAAGATTTTCTTCTTCGCATATTCCCTAGTTACCGAGAGGGCGCACCACTACTTGGTTCTCTAGCTACCGGAAGTTTCAGCAGAAGCTTGAAAGGCTTGATTCATACGCCCAAAGGGGTTGGGTCTCTGCAAGAAAATGTGGCCCAAGAAGCGTGCCTTTGGATTGCTCGTAAATGCAATGTTACTGCTCTAAGTCCTGAAAACTAGATGAGAGGACGAGATATTTACTAGGAACATTCGTTGGTTTATTGAGCCCTAGGTGGAGTTCTGCATATAAAATGTAGAAAGAAAATATTAGCAAGGCCGCGTCATATCCTGCCTACCGCTATACCGTTATCTACGTAGTCAACGTTTGAAGGCGGCTAGAAAAAAAAAAGAAGGGATAAATTTTCCCCCTCTTCGCCTCCGGGGAGCAGCGAGCACTTAGCCGCGTAAATGGGAAAAAAGACTCTGCTCCCCGAGATCATTTCAGCCCGATAAAAAAACAGAAAAGAAACGTTTCATTTCTTCAACTCACTCTCAGAATTTTATATAAAGATTTCGAACTGACGGCTTCATCTCATCTTCTTCCTCAGGTTTCTCCTCAGGTCAATAACTCAGGCGATAGTACAACAATCTTGTCCCTATATACATCGATGAACAGCTCCAACAACAATATTTTTTTCCTCGCCTCCATCTCGCAAGTGGTATTTGCGAGCCACGGCTACAATTGCCCATCTGAACAGGTCCCTTTTCGAAGTGAACCACCTTGATGGGATAGATACCAGATATCCAAGTCTGGTAGGAATTCTGGGGAAACGGCATAGATGACGTGAGTTCATAAATCTGACAGGCTCTTTCAACCGCGTACCAATGTGTGCTCAGTTATAGCGAATTCTCCTTGTAGCGCTCTTTCAAACATCTCATAATGGATCGTCTTATTCAAATTCTTCGCAAGCCGGGAGCGAAGGGTGAAATCAGCGGGATTGCTCCTACGCAGCAGGTGGCGGAGAAGGAGAAAACCGTCCAGAATGTCACTGGATACGTCACGACTTCCAAGCGGAGGATGCTTGATCGTTGGCTTGACTGGGTCGTCCGTGCCTCGGGATCCAAGTTTGTATTCTTCTTGATTCTCTCAGGCCTCCTGACCTGGGTTTTACTTGGTATTCCCTACGGCAAGACAAGCAGCTGGCAGGTTGGCATCTCCGATGTGCAAGCTATTTTGTGTTATGTTTTCGACTCCTTCCTAGTGCGCCAGCAGTTGAACGAGTACGAGGATGAGATGATGGCAGCGGCGCAAGTGCAATCACGGCTGATGAGCCATTTCAGGATGATCAGGAGTCTCCAACAAGCAAGCAAGACGGATGGACGTGTTCGTGGCTTTGTTCAAAGCGAGCGTCAACCGGACGAGAGTGAACTGAAAATAGACCTTCCTCAGAATACCCGCTTTGGTCGATGCATCACTGCATGCGCGCACGTCCTAGGGCATCTGGTCACTATTGTCCTTTTCTGGGCTGGCGTTATCATTTGGATCGGCATAGGCCCTCTCAGTGGGTGGAGTGATACTTGGCAGCTCTATATGAACTCGGCTTCCTCTGCTCTGATGGTGTTCGTGTTCTCATTTCTTACCAATATCCACGAACGCCATTCTGGCTATATGAAGAGATGCCTGGATGCGATATTCTCCGTGGACTCGAGGTTGGAGTTGAGGCTCAGATCACTGACAGGTGACCGGCTGAGCAATGGTATGGTAATAATTCCAGCTCCTAAGATGAACTCCATTCAGCGAGCGATCTTCTACTACGCAGACTTCGTAGGCACCTTGGTCGGTATTGCCATTCTGATGGCTGTTATTGCGGTCTGGGCTGCCGTCGGTCCACTCCTACATTTCAGCTCCGGTTGGTGGCTTCTCATCGGGACATATGCTGGCCTTGTTGGAATGAACGATGCCTTTGTGTTGCGAAATATGCAGGCCCGTTTGGGAGGATATGTTGATGCTGAGTTTGACAAGATCGAGGCAGAAGATGAAAGGCTCTTTGCCATGACCGGATTGCAAATTCCAGCAAAGGAAACACCCAACAATACGTCCATTACCTACCGCATCTCCGAAGCCATAGGCCGTATCAGCGCACATGAACTCTCGGTTGTGGCGGCCTTTATTTCCATTGTCGGGTTGATTACCGGTGCCAGTGCGATGAGATGGAGCTTGACGGGTCAGCTACTCTGCAACGTCCCACCAAGCATCATGGAGTCTTTCCTCATGATCGTTCTCATCACAGGCCATAACTCCGCGGGGAGTAGAAAGATTGCCGACTTACAGACAGTCCATGAGCGACGCCAAAGACTTCTTTCGTTTGTGAATCACCTTGAGTTGCTGGGCGGCAAATCGGGCCAGCCAATTCAGAGGAGCCAAACTGAATCAACTCTCGTGGTCTCCATGTCCGCGGATAAGGTCCTTTAGAGTCGATTCTTGCATTTGCGGAGGTTTTCTAGTGTAGAGCAGGGGAAATGCTGTTGGGAGGGTCGTGGAATAGATGCGGACAATGTTTGTTCCGCAAGCGTTAGCAGGGCATAGTTCAATATGTCTGCATTAGATTGAGGGAATGAGCATTTCAACCATGCTCTAGACGTGCATTACTATTATTAGTCTTCGTTTTTAGGGGTGAGGGTTGGGGGGGAGTGGGAGCACTGTCCAGCAGATTCCACGTTTTACCCTCTACTTTCTCCTGCTATTTTCTTCTTTCTTTAGTATGAAATTTTAGTATCTCTGGGTTAATATGATTTCGTTGGAACAACCATGAAAAAGTACGCAGTATATACTTCCCAGGGGGTATTCCCACAGACCACATTGTTACCCATCGTCAAGGGTACATATGGATGACGTTTTTGTTCACAGGGCTGCAGGCGGATTTTGGGGTCAGAAATCCATGCTTTCAATCAATCCCGATCCTAGCTTCGCTTAACTGCTGTGTAAGGTTATCCAGATATCACCTTAAACCGGCCAGCCTGTTTCCTTATGGAATACCGGATGAGAATGGTGAGCAACAGAGGGGAAGGTATGATAGGACGATAAACTGGACATCTAGTCAACTATTGACACGTAGTCGTTTGACTTTATTACAACCCCGTAATCCGTACGTTGAGATAGATCTGGAGGCTGAAATGATAGCCCGGACGGGGAGCCGGCTCGCTATACTCAGAGGCCTCCCAGTGGTTATCAAAAAACAAGTTTTTGGTACCCCTCCCCGCCAGCAATTCATCCGGGATGGGGGCCCCTGGAAAATAGCCGTCCAACCCTGGTCGTGATATATAATATATCAATGCTCGCATGCCCGTGTAGCCATCTGATGGAGAAAACTACCCGCCACTCGTCTGTATGAAGGGCACCACAATCCCTACTCCCAGATCGGCGTTCGTGTAGCACTCTACCGGGTAAAGAAAGAGTCTGTCTCGTGGAAAAAGCCGCTTGTCTCCTCGTTTGATGCCGCCGAAGCTGAAGCGTGGCTTTCGGAGGGAGTGTCGGGTCGTTTGGCCCGAGTAGCTAAAAAAGAAAAAGGCCGACAAGTCCATGTTAACTAGCGGAGCATTAGTTTGGCCAACCAGATTATAAATGACTGAAACCCTTGATACATCTGGCCAGTAGCAAACTCCTTCACGCCTACAGAAGAGTCGAGTATCGTCATAAGTCGAAGCGGGTCGAAGCTGGTTGGCGCATCACGGAAACGATTTATGTGTTATATTAAGTATAATAATATATTAGTAAAACAGGTGGAGGAAGTGATCACGTGCCACGCGACGTTTGGTGGGTCGATAAAAGGCGCGTCATCGCGAGAAGTAGAAGAAGACATAAACAGAGACTCGCGCCCGCTTGGGTGTCCGTCTGCCAGTGTTCTCTGTTAATCTTCCTGTTTATGTCTATTGTCTTGCACATGTAATTAGCTTAAGGGAGGTTCCAGCAGAATCTCGAAGACAGAGAGAGAGAGAGAGAGAGAGACGGGGACGATGGACTCTGACCCGCCGCTCCCGTCGCCGCCACGGACCAGGCGCAAGATAAAGGTTGCAGGTCAATCGACGGGCACTCGCGCTTCATTCCCATCTGCCTCATCCACGTCGGGGTCGCTGGATAGATTTCTAGGCAGTAGTGGGACGCCGTCGAGTGACCCGCCGCTCTTCTCGAGCGATGACTTCCAGTCGTCAGCGTTAGAGAACTATGATACCAGCAGGGACAATGACCTAGAAAACCTGCCAGAGGAGCCAGCGGGTAGGAAACGACGTTACAGAGGGACGTGGTGGGGGCAGAAGCTGGGAAACGAGTTGCAGCCCAAGAAGAACAAGAGGACCAAGAGGACGGGGTTCAAGAGCAAGAGGAATATGGACAGTGGTGTCTGGCTGGGGACCACCGATACCGTCGATGATGGGGATGAGTCTGCTGCCGTGTTTACCTGCGGCTCAGACGATTCCGTATTCTGTGAAGAGATGGGACTGTCTACGGGCCGTGACAGGGCATCCAGAAGAACTCCCCAGTTCCCAGGAGCAGGAGGGAGTAGTAGTAGAAGCCCGGTAGCAAAGGGCAGTCGGAGTCTCGAGTCTACGGCTCATGCAAAGGCTAGACAGATCATCAACACATGTCTAGATGACGGGGATGACAGGGTTGATCTCTCGTAAGTCCCCTAGCTTTGCGTTTGCTCTGCTTGACCCGTAAACTAACCTGTCTTGACAGATACCTGGACATGGGCTCAATCCCATCGTATATACTCCCTCCTCTGGCACAGTTGACTAAACAGCCAACGGTGCCGGACCACGGGGTTTCGGCCCAAATATTCAGTCCCCTAGAGCCGTCTCTTCAGCTGTTCTTGACTCGCAACCTGCTTACCCGTGTTCCGAAGGAGGTGTTTGACCTGGTGAACATACGTTTCCTCAGCCTCCGCCAGAACAAGCTGACAGAAATACCCGGTGCAATTCGCAAACTTACCCTACTTCAAGAGCTGAATGTAGGTGGGAACAAACTACGATATCTGCCATGGGAGCTTCTCGGGTTAATGCAGGGTCGTGGAGCGCTGAAAAATCTTACCCTGCATCCCAACCGATTCCTTCGTTTGGATCAATCGGAGATTGCCCAATGGCATATCGACACCGATGCGGGTGGAATAGTGGCCATCGACCCAAATACGCGCGAAGCCGAAAGTAATGCCCCCGCACTACCTACTTACAAAGAAGGTGTACTGGAGGAGTGGAAACCGATTCACGTCGCCACCAGTACAGCAGAGTACTTTGATATGGAAGGGCGCGCCATCGACAGACGACGTATATCCCCAACTAATACCCCGTCTCTTCGTGATTTGGCGTTGAAAGCATGCTCTCGCTCTCCTAACTTCTCACGTTTTATCGAGGATGAACAAAGCATGGCCTCATCGGCCTCAGGGCTCTCCTCGTCAATACCCTCGGACACCAACACCCGCTACCAAGACCCCATCGTCCGGCTCCTCAGCTTTGCAAACGAGGTCAGGCAAACGGGTGAAAAACTCTGTTCCGTGTGCAGCAAATCATATGTTATGGACAAAGTGAGGTGGATCGAGTGGTGGGACTGTAAGCCAGCTGAGACCCGCGGAGTAGAGCATGGAAGGAAAGCAGGACAGAGCCTGTATCCTCTGCCATTCATGAGAAGAGGCTGTAGCTGGGCTTGCTCCCCCAGTCTCCCTGCTGTCGGGGAAGAAATCTAGGTCCTGTTCTTCATTTTATTTTGGATTATTGTTTCGTTATTGTTCCTGGGTTGGACAAATTGCACAAAGAAATACATAGCGGTCTTCATCATATTAAGGTCATTGTTCATAATTTGCTTGCTAACAGACATAAGAAGTATAATAAGCGAGCAGATGCCTTCTTCCTCCCCTATACCATTCTTCGACCATTAGCGTAATCCAGTATTTAGTTGAGCTCCTCCACCACAGCACCGCTATCAACGTCACCCTTCATCTCATCTCCAGGCTCAGGGATTCCAAGTTCCTCGCTAATGAATACCTCGACCTCCTTCATATCTGGTTTCCCATGCATACTGTCTAGCCATTTGAGCATACTCTCGTAAGCCTGTGGAATAATGCATTCGACGTTCTTAGGCTCCCCAGAGGAATAGCAGTTGCAACCAAATTCGTATCGACCGGCAACAGGTTGATCCAATTCCTTGTCAGAGATCAAGTAAGCTCGACAGCGAGTTGATACGAACTCCGCGAACTCAGGTGGGTGCAGATGGTTAGTATCGTGCAGTGGGTTTCCCAGTGCCATAGACGATATGCGAGATTTCCATGTTGACCCTGTCCACACGTGCTATTAGTACTGTTCTTTGATACCAGTATACTTCATAAGGGTATGCATGTCATTCTTACAGTGTTCGGCCAGGTACCTGACTGCAGCAAGGCTGCCTTCTGCGAGTCCGATAACGTCGATTTTCGCATCTGGCGCAAGTTTATCCAGCACCTCGTCGAAGACATAGGTAACATGGTCTTGCCAAGTTTCATTACCGGGTATCTTATTTCGAACGGTCATTTTCATGGGCGGCTCAACAGCATGCTTCCTAGGTAGAGCAAGCCAGGAAGGCAGTGAGATGGCTCGTTCACCGGCACAGTGCCACACCAGCTGGCCGGGGTTGGTTAGGATAAGACCCGGTGCAGGAGTCTTGTCCGTCTCGTCATGAGCTTTGTTTACATCACTTCCGACGGTGGTATCTCCCTTTGACCCGGACTTCGTTTCAGTGAAGGAAGCCTTCTTTCCTCCCAAAACAGCCGTCGTAAAGTCTACAGCAGATCCAGAGTTGATTGTGTCGGAACCTATAGTCCTGTATGCCCAGATTCCGAGGTCTTGAACAGGTTCTCCAAAAACCACAATGATGCGCTTGTCTGTCTTGAATGAGGGAGAAACCAGAATGGGCACATGCTGTTGGCTGGGCCTGGCACCAACAGGCAATCGGAGCGTCTCTAGACCTTGATCATGCAGACGCGAGAGTACAATGTTACGAATGCATGCTATCATTATGTTAGTATCTAAGTGAACGTAGGAGTTAGACGAGGACTCACTGTTCATCGCCTCTTTCTGCAGCTCATTATACCGTTCGTTGGCATTGATCTTGTACAAGAATTTCTCTTCTGGATTTGATATCATGCGTATTTGGTCATCGTCATTGACAAAGTATCTATTAATCACGAATCTTTAGCTTCAGCTTCATTATATCAATGTGTACACACACATCCAAGGAGGGGGGGGGTTTAGAATCAAAACCAAGCCGTTTCAGAGAGTAGAGTCTCACCCAAGCTGCTTCAAATTTGCTGGAAACACTGGATCCTTAGGAAGAGCTTCCTTCTGGAAGACGAACATGACGCCTCGTTTTACTACCGACCTGGTAGCTCGTGCTATAGGCCGAAATAGGCAGAAATGAAGTTTTCTTGGAAGATCGAGGAGAGAGAAACAGAGTCTCTGGAGGTCCAGCATTTGGTTGAAAGGAAAAGAAGTGAACTGAAAAGGGTATCCTTGATATGCAAATAAAGCAAGTGAAAGAAAGGAACCAAAACAAGTGACTGCAACAACCAGCGAGCAACTATTAAGAACCAATGAGATACAGTGTAGATGTATATAAAACAGGATGTAACAAGCAAACAAATGTTAAGTATGGAGCTTCAACCGAGGTAGCAAGTAGCAGTTTTCCGTCCAGGTAAAGCCCCTTGGGTGCAAAGGGAGCCCGTATCATATATAAGACGAGCTAGCTCCATGCTATCACATATACACTTATGCATAGCTTAGACTCTGATCCCCAGGGACATCATCCTATAGGAACCAGATGTTCGATGTTTCAGATGCTCTTCGAGTGTTTATAAAAATAGCTTACAAGAAATCAGCCTCAAAAAGCCCTTTCAAGCGGCCTGACGTGGTGGCTTTTTCGAGCTAGGCACCGCCATTAAAGAGATTTACTAGTAGCTTTGCTGAGAGCTCTCCCCTGTGTAAAATATTTATCTCACTCTAAAACACAAGTTAGCTTTTGACTCTAGGCATCAACGAAGAGAGCGAGCTGCTTCGGATTTCGTCATAAACCTGTCTTAAATCTCACGATTTACAGCTGTCTCGCGGCTCTGGCCTGAATGTTCTGACAAGCAATGAATTTCTAAATCTGTAATATACATATCCCATACAGTACCGCCTTATAACTCCTGGGTTGTTTAAACATGTACAAAAGGCGAGGAAAGCAGTCGTCTGAACGAGTCGATCGGAACAGTAAAGCGTAATATCGAGGTTTACCAACTGGCCTTCCTAACACCAGGAAGCTCTCCAGCTAGAGCTTGCATTCTGAATTGATACTGCAAGGAGAAAAGAACAAATCAGTCAGCAACATTCCATCGCCCTTCGTGGCTGTTGGGGGATCAAACTCACTCTTGCCAACTTGAAGTCTCTGAACACACTTCTCGCTATTCCTCCAGAGATACACCTGTTTTTTATTTGCGATGGTCTGGTATAGGCATGCATCTGAGAAAGCTTCAGTTGCGCCTGAGCACGTACGCGCATGGGGAGGCTGGTGTTGTGAGATATATATCGGAGTGCTTGTCTACAAAGGAGTTTAAATGTTAGCATATACATACCAAGGCTTAGAAGAAGTAGGAACTGCCCTATTGAGCAGCACAGAAAGGTATAATTCAAGTTCAATTCCTAGAAATATTGGTAGTTCAAAGGCTTACCTTTCCGGTTCATACTGCTCAAAGACTTTTCGCTTGGTATGGTCACGAATAATCCGGATGTTGACAAACCCGCCAAGGTCCAGTCTCTTTGCGCGGAAATGAGACATGATGTTCAGTAGTATCCAATTGGTCTTCCTGTGTTGCTGGTGGTGATGGCAGTTGACTTGTTGAATTTTGCTTGGTCTTTTGGAGGGCAACGGTACATTACCCAAACGGGCTAGCGCCAAGATATGGCCACTCAAAAAATCAGTCAAGCATAAATTGAAGAATAACAATGTAGATTCAATAGAGTATTTCCTTTCTGTAGGAGATTAATATTGATGCTACTCGGTAACGAGTCTGCAATTATCTCAATGGGTAGGTTTGGCGTGGTTAAACCAGTGTTTAAGACGTTACTCTACGATATTCTGGACAGATCATCGTGGGCCTGAGTGGTGATGTGCCTTGCTTAAAACAACAGAAAATAATACCCGGTGATATAATAGTACCAAAGGGAAGGGATTGTGAGATCCCTCTTTTTCAGCCCAAAAGTAGCCACCTATTCGCCATGGTCATATCCTTATCGAGAGGCTCGAGTGATGTAGCGGATAACGTGTCAATTGAAAACTGTTAATAGAATGTCTCTATGTTCAATGTACAAAGGCTCTTCTGACGTATCAAAACGGTCGGCTTCGGATAGCAAGCATTTTATCCGGCCGCGATATAAGAGTACAGTTGTTTTTCACGAGATTCCTTCCCACCAATCTAGTGTTTCCCAGCTTGCTTTGCGGCATTGGGGTTTCGGGGATCATTTCTGAATTCCTCGGCTATAAAAAGAAGTATTAGTTTCGGTGTCCATGTCATACGCCCGGTACCTGAAAGAGTTGTTGCGTTTCGGGAAACCTCGGCGGTATCCAGTCATTTCAAAAATGACTTCATCACCATATAAAGAAGCAGAGATATCGACTCACAGTTCATCATGGCGTTCTGGAGAGAGTTGATTCCGTATCCAACGACCAGGGCTATGGAACAGTTAGTCAAGGTGAGATATAGCGAATAACCAGACATGCGGCCGGGTTTGATGTGATCGAACTGGATACAGCGGGAAAGCGAAACATCAAATATGGCTGGATAACGTCAGGACGTACCAGCAACGAAGAATGGAGCAATTGGTTTGGCTGATTGAATCATTAGCAACGTCTGGGGCAGTCCAGTTTGGGGAGCTTAGATGGAGGTAACGAACCAACGAGGGCCGGGAACTTCTTTGGTAGGAGAGGCATTTTGATTGATAGAGTGAACGGAGAGCGAATTCTGTCCCGAGTTTTGCGGCGGAGATGGCGATGGCTGGTAGGCTTCTCGAGGCTTGAATGCGTTGAGGTTGAAGTTGGAGTTTCCGATCTTTTTCGTTCATGATGGAGGAGTCACGTGATAATATCTTTTTTGTTTATAAAATCGCAGTATCAAGCGTGAAGTTCACTGTACAGAAGCAACAAAGGTCCAAAAGCACTTATTTAAAGGGAGAAATCGGCATTTATCATGGCATCAGCTCTGTCATCTTCAGTTTCTTCTCTTCGTGCATCCTTGCAGCTACTTGAATCTTCAATTGATATCCTTGATGAAGGTGTAAACGATTTCCCCCGCCTCTGCAAAGTACTTCAATCTACAAGAGTAAGTAATAATAGTTCACCGGTATATTATACATATAGCTGACAGTATACGTTGACTTAGCACTTCGAATTACTCCCTGAACCGACTTTGAAAGAAGCACAGCAAGCCATTGTGGACGAAATCACACCCAGTATTTCTCATCTTATCACACTGGCGTCAAACCACACCGACAAGCTCGCGCGCCGACAGGAGGCGTTGAAAGCCAAAGCTGAGCTGCAAGAGGGGCGTTTATACCACGAACCAGGACCCTCTTCTAGCGGGAGCATGCATCATGAAAGAAAAGGAGTCTACTCTGCTTCTATGGCTGGTGGTGCCGCTGGAGGCAAAGCCGCTGAACTACGCAGGCTAACACAGAAAAAAGAACGCCTACAGTATGCTGTTGACCGATTGGAACTGCAATCAAAACAACGTGAACGTCAATTAAGGAAAAGCATGGCTGCTTCTTGAACATGGCTGGTTGGTAATAGACGTATACCTTTGAACCACAAGGCTATGTTGCAGAAGATCGCCTGGTGGTGTTTTATAGCAGGAAAATTATCCTTAAGTGACCTAACTCTTTAACCTGCTTTTATGCGGGTGAGCTAGCCACTCCAGTGTTTCGGTACGGGCACCACTATGAAGGAATGGTAAGCTTACTGTGTCCATGCTTGCCTATATGAGGCCATAATGGGGAAAACCTATTAGCTCCGCTATCTTTCGTTGACTATAAATATGACGAGAGCTAGAAAACGCGGGGAAATAGACAGGGGGAGATTACCAACAGGTCGAATCAATGGGCTCAGGCGCAGACCCAGCCATCAATATGAGCATTGCTGAGAGAAGATAATATTGAGAGAAGTGAATTAAACTACATTTTTATACAATACATGGCTAGTAATACAGTTTGTCCAAACTATGCAGAATCCCTAATATTATACAGTATACTCCGTCAATCGTAAAAATAAGTTGAGTTCCTTTCCTTATGTTCCAGTGAGATGCCTGATCGCTCGTATGTGTGTAAATAAGTCGAAGATATAGCCATATATCAACGAGAAAGCTCCAGTCTAGGTTTCTATTCACGGCCCAACTGTCGGCCTAGCTTGCGATCACGCTTCACTTCCATCTGCCTAGCCCACTTTGGTACTTTGTTTTCTTTCTTGTTTTTCTGGCCTGTTCGGCGGTCATGATATTCTTGCAATCTGTCAGCAAGTTTCTCATGGCTCTCCTCTTCATCAAGATCTTCCTCGCCATCGTCTTCAGGCCCAGCACGTCTCCGCCTTCGATCTGCGCCTGGCTTCAGTACCTTCTTTTTTATAGAAGAAGCCTCATCTGGTTTGGGGGTGCGGATAGGACGATGGACTCGGGTTTTAGCTCCTAAGGGCCATAGGTCTCCCCATGAAGATTTGCGGGCATCTCGGTATGCTTGTTTGCTGAACGAACGTGGGACAGTCCAACGCTCAATTTTCCCTTCAGGAGTGCATACGTCCATAGAGACATGACCCTTTCGTTTAATGGGCGGTAGAATAACTCGTGGCCATAAGAGAGGATCGGTGACATCTCCAGCATTCGGCTTATCAACGTCAACAGCGTGCTCATGGCCAGAGAATGCTGCGTTTGTAGCTGCCTCGTCTTGGACCAAGCCATCCGTTTCTCTCCTATCAACACCACGTTGGACGGCCAGGTAGCTGAACTCCGCATCTTCATGATTGTGGGACGGGTTTCCCAAGATACGCTGTAAGACGTGTGGTCGAACATAACGCTGTGCAAATCGACAGTACTCCTTTGGTCTCTTCGCATTTCCAGGCTCGACATACATGGGGCACCGAGCATGCGTTGTGCATGGCGCAACTATCATCCCTTTACTCTTCTCCAATGACGAACTCTGTGTCTCTCGGATAGTATCAGCAGCTTCTGCCGACTCAGGAGAAGTTATTAACCGCTCTAATATCATCGCTCTGGCGCCTCCGATAGCTGCGAAGCCTTCCTTATGCCCTTTTTCGAGAAGAATGAGTATACCACCTTTGGGGTTTAACATCGCCCAAAGATTTTGGACGTAATCTCTTTTTTGAAAGTCCTCTTCAAAATGTAATAGCGCATGAGGGGCAACTATTATATCATAGTTCTTCCGATTCCCGGGCTTATGGGGGCCGAGAGAGGATTCTCCCTTAAGGCGTAGATAGTCAGGCAACCGTGGAAGGAATGTCGTGTTTTCTAAAAGGCTGCTGACACGGTGTCGCAATGTATCAGATCCAATTAAGACGGTAGATTTGCCTTTTGCCAGGCTGTCTTCTGGATGATCAGGGTACATCAGGGACCATTCGGATCGCAGAACTTCTCTCCATGCAAAGATGCCAGCACCACCGCCACTTGCATCAAGGATACTCGGCCCTCCTTCTTTACACATAAGGCCGCGAATCCATTTTGTCCCGAGCCTTTTCCGCGTTTCCACGAGTGCACTTAGAACTGAAGCATAAATGCCAGGGTAGAGTACTGACATGAACAAGGCGCTTTCTATATGCGACATACTCTTTTGTGATGGCGTGAGAGGAATTGGATTCTTTGGAAGGGATTTATGTACTCCAATTGCATCAGGTAGTTGGGCTCCCCCAAATAATGTGCGCGCGGTTTCAGAGACATGCTTATTCGAAAAAGCAGCGTTCATTTGAGTGATAGGCCTCATCATAGTAGCTGCTGGGGCTGTGACGCTGCTCGGAGTGGTACCAAATTTGCCCTCATCTACAAATGGATGCGACCGAAGGAAGGGGTCCTCACTGTCGTATGTCGGGATTTCGGTGAAAAGCTCTGCTCCAAGGGCCGCTGCCACCTGACGAGACCTCTCTGTGGTTTGGGTGTTTAGTGCATCAATGGTATCCTCGGATATGCCCACCAATGGCTCGCTCTCCGGGGTTTGTGGTTCAGTGGAGTGATGGTCTCGCGCCATCTCAACTTCTTCCCACTCTCCATGCTTATTCTCCCGGAATATTTGGTCTTCCTCTCTCTCTGATTCTTCCGGTTTGGTGAAAACTGGCTCGCCATATAACCGCCTGTAGAGCTTTAGGCCGTCTTCGTGTAGCTCATCAGGCGGCAAGAACACGCCGTATTTTTCCCATGCCTCTCTCACCCTGGCATCCAATGCCTCTGGAGTGCGATATCCAACTATCAAACTGATAGATTTTAAAACATCTAAATCTTCGCTTGTGGCTGATTCAGGCAAATCTTCAAGTTCAAGGTCTTCGATCTGTTGGACTAATTCTTCATGCTGCGCGTATATCTTATCGAGGAGCCGGTAGAATTCTTCTTTTTGAGTGGAAGATGGGGAATTGATTGCTGACGAGTTAAATCGCTTTCCACTATCGAGGGATAATTGTGCAAAGGCATTTGAAGTGCGTGTGAGTTTAGGTAATAAAAGGCCAGAAGTCCTTGCGTATGAGACCGTCGAGAGAGCTTTTGGGCTTTGGATTTTGCAGCTGCGTAAGGATTTTAGAGATCCACGACTAGAAATTCGAAGGAAGGTCTGGGAGTACGCCGTGCGCGCCGTTGCTGTAGACCGTCGGGATATCATACTTCTCGTTCGGTGAGACAGAGAAGTGCTTTATGCCTTCTTTTCCATCGACATTAAAAAAAATCTACAGATGAATAATTCGAAGCTTCTCAGCAACCGCCAAGACTATGCTAATTTTATTTGGACTAGCGCGTAGCCGCTATTAGATTTACCTTTTTCCAGTAAACTTAAACTTGAAGTTATGCTTAAATTTGACCCTCAACCTTACTGTGAGGGAGTAGAAAAGATGGAAAGACAATAAAAAGGCACAAGTCAAGAGACAAGGTGGAATAGTCAAGTAAACACGGCAAGTAGATTCTAACTACTAAATACATTGGCTGTTTAATTGAGCTTTGTCAAATATATTGTTCTACGGCAGATTTTTTGTTTACTATATACATACTTGATCAAGTCTAGTTATGAGGCCCATTGATGATCCAGGACAAGTTGAAACGGCGCCAAATGATAGCACGATGAGACTTTTCTCCACCCTTATCTTCGTACCAGTCACTCTCTACTAATGCACCGATTTTATAATCGCTAGTCTTCGTCATGCTAGAGTAGCCACCTTCGTTTCCGACATTCTTCAGAGGAGCATCCTGCAGGTCACGGCCATAGTTGAACTTGGCAGCGTCCTTGTCGTAACTAATGCGTACACGCATGGCTGTGCGTCGGTCCACGGAGGCAGAATTCATGAAGATAGTTCTGGCTGGTTCATCCCTATTGTAACTCAGTATCGAACCCTGGCAGGCAGGGTCTGGAAGACCGTTATCCGTTGCAAAGGGGCCAAAGCCAGAGAGGGTACCGCGAGCAACCGAGCGATGGCCTTTGGGGCCTGGGCGATCATTACGGAGGAGTTTACCATCAGGTGTTTGGCAAATCGTTCCCTCGGAGCCAGCGCCCTTGAGAATTTGCATCGACCAAGTACGGTTCCCTGCTGGTCCAGTTCCGATAATGTTGCGGCCCTGCGCTGGAATTACTAGTTCGCCAGAGGTCAATTTGATGCCATTGCCAGGCCCGACAGCATCCCATGCCTGGCCATCTGGGGTCAAAGTCTTCGTCATGTCCACGGGTTTAGACCAGCTGTTGCCGTCGTCAATGCTTTCGGTGAGATAGAGGTGGCGACGACCAACCCAGGTGGAATCTATCTTTTTCGTTTTCTCTCCATTCAGCAGAACGTTGTTTCCATTCTGGCTATACGCACCGTCGTTCATGGACAAAAAGAGATAGATAGTGTTGCCATCGACAACGGGGGTAGGATTACCCCAGGTATGAGGGCCAGTGCCGACAACCTCACGCAACGATTCCCAGTCGCTAGGGTTTTCGCCGTTGTTGGTTGGAGTCTTGGTACGTTTGTAGACCAGATTGATGTCACCGTAGTCTCGGTTGTTGTGGCGGCGGCCTTCAGCGAAAGCAAGAATACGGCCAGTATTGGTACGGATGACGGCAGGAATTCGAAACGAGTGGAATCCAACTCCGCTAGATAGCTTGTCTGGCGAGGGCATATTTTCACTTTTGAACAAGGCATACTCCTTGTGATACTGAGCAGCCTTTCCTGCCGGATCATCGACTTTCGCTTGGATAACGGTAGCTGAAAGGGCAACTACCGCCAGGGAGACTAGCCATTGCTTAACCCCCATACTGATGGACTAAATTCCAAGGATATCGATACTCAGGTTGAGATCCGGTAGCGGGACAAGTAGGTTTAAAGGAGAGAATTTAATGAGGTTTGATATTGAGATTCAGGTACGAGCCTGGCATTCAGGCTCTGTAAAGGCTGGAGTCAGAATAAAACTGCATTTGAGAGTTGACCCTTTTATATACTATAGATAACTGATCTCGTGGTCGCATAGAGCCGATTTCATTCCGATGGAACATCGTATGAATTGTGACATTGTCCGCGGTGATGAGCTTCTTGTCCATTGTGCCTCACGAGACAAATATCCAAAATCTGCCCATGTGCATCTTATTTCCCATCGTGATTGGCCATTTATAGGGTTCCCGTTCGTTTAAGCACTGAAACGCTATGTTTAGCTATCCTTGACTGATTTACCTTGGGTTCGCAAGGGGTTCTCGAATCGCAACATGTGAATCTAAAATTAGTAGGAGCGGAATGGTTATGTTACCTACACAGCACTCGAAAACGGGTTGCTATCATAGGTAAGTCGGTAGAAAGTCAACATTTTGAGGATTGTCCAAGTAACCGCTGCTGCTCACTCTTCAAATCCTAGTTTTTCCCGTTGATAAGACGCTTGAACCCTCGTGTAGTTGGCCATAACGTGACGACACTATAAATAGAAAAATATAGACACGGATGAATATATAGCACTGCGGGTTCCGATTATGCCGACTCCGAAGTTGATACTGTGGGGAAACGGGCAGCCTAATACGAGATAAATTAAGTGCACATAAGGAAATACCAGAAAGTCCGAATACGATGGGTGCAGAGTTTCAATGCTGGATTGAAGACGTTTAGATAATAGGATATGAGGCATAGTTTAGTCACTCTCATCTCCCATTAGGATAGAAAGAGCTTCTCTCCACCTTGCAACTTCATGTTCGAGTGCAGAGATTTTTGCCATGGCAGATAAAAGGCTGGGGTCTTGACTCTCCACCCTGACTTTTTCTTGGACCGTTACTTCTTCACCATGCCATTGGAATACATCTCCAGTTTCGTCATGAGTGGGCTGTTTCACACCAAAAAGCTGATCCCGTAAAGAGAACCCGCCTAAAGAAATGTTTGGTGCGAAAGACGCCGCTGGAACGGATTCTGTTGATGTGGGTTCGAGAGTGCGAAGATAGAGCACGAGTGCAGCCTCTGAAATTGAGAGGTGAAATGAGAGGTAAGGCGGAAGTGGTGGATCAAAGCTCTGAATATGGAGTCAGCGTTATCCGTAGTTCCACTTAACCAGACTTACGGACGGAGTCTTTGAGGGTGGGGATCCTACCTTCTCATGAGCACTGTCTTCAAACCATGGCTGCTTAATCCCTTCTCCATCCCCCTTCAATGTTTGTCTGGCTTCAGCTAAATTATCGCCAAGGAGCTTTAGCTGACCTGCTATAAAATTTGCATTCTTTGGATCCCCAGTATATGTGCTAATATCCACAATATCGAGGCTATCATTTATGAGACGACGAACAGATGAGAGTTGGCCGAGAACAAGCTCAGGAGCAGCCGGGTTGGACGAAAGGCAAAGTCGAGTCGACGGCGAGCCGCGTGGGTGAGGTAAGGAATTTAAACGGAGTTGAACATCCTAGAATTTTGCACTTGTAAGCAGGGGCCCTCCACATTCAATTAAATTCTAGTTAGTAGATCTTGAATATAGTCATGATCTGTGGTGTCTCCATGGAATACACGTACTCCTTTAACAATCTTCGAGCCCATCCTTGTCACAAAACCCTTGACGCACTCTGATCGCATTGAGGAAAGCACGAGTGTAGATCCTGTGTCGTTCGGCGTGAGAAGAGCGTAGCACTCTTGCAGCCCGTCCCGTAAAGAAGCAAGCGTCCCTTGTAAAGAGTTCAAAAGCCATTCCAATTCTCGAGACTAAGTGGTTGATTAGTTGTATCCAGGTTAAGATTTGGACTTTAAACAGGACATACTAACGACTGTTCCTCTCTCTCCTTCAGATGGTTAGGAGGAAGAGAAGGATATGCCCAAGCAGCCATATTTATGCAAGTGTAGTATGTCGTTGTACTGCGATTGAAGGGATGAAAGTTGTGGGCCTTGAAGATGATGCTGCTGCTGTTTGCCCTGAACTTCAGACGTCATTTTTGGTTTATTACCTAATCACAGCTACTTACGGCAACCAATAGCGCCCTCTTATGCAAGTCTGACTTGATAGCCAAATGGACCATTTAAGATCATAGAAGAGAGATATAGGGGAACCAAGGATTGTATTTTTAATGGTAAATAGTTTGCTGTTCTAAGTCCCTATGAAGATATTATAAAAATAGCAACGAAGTAAAGGCGGGTTATTGATGTCTAGAGATAAAAACACATTTAAGGGGGTTCTATGGAGTGCCTAGAAAGGGCGCCAACTTATAAACGAAGCATGTATTAAATTCATTGGAAAAGGATCAAAACATTATCATCAAATATTCCTCTCCGTCTAATTTAGCCATTTATGTGTGCTTTTGTATGTTCCCCCATTTTTACCCTAAATCTATGCACCGTTCTCAACCACCTGTGGAGGCTCCACAACACCACGGACGCCTCCCTTTCCACCGATCTCACGGGCGGTTATTTGGACAGCAAGTTGCTCACTCACGCTGACCATAACCTCAATCTTGCCACGGGGCTTTACATCGCGGATGGCAAACTCAGCAATTGGTTTCGAGACACTCCATGAAATTTCGCGGATTTCCTCTTCCTCTTCCTCCTCATCGTCATCGGAATCGTCCTCATCATCTTCATCCTCAGCCTTTGGTTTAGGCTCTACCTTTGTGACCTTGATTTCGCGTGTGCCCTCACAAATACGGACAAAAACGTCACCACCGTCCTTTGGAGCGGAGTACTGAGCGGATCGACGAGCTGGGAGAGCAGTCTCGGTGTTCAAGAGTGGCCTGAAAATGCCAGTGGTCTCTTCAGAAGACACGAGCTGAACTCCAATAGCCTTACTAAGGTGAGGGGCAACAGTGACCATCGGGTGGGTGGATTGCTCGATGTCGGCCATTTCAAATTCTTCTATGAGAGAAGCTTGAATGGCGGCTCCCCTGACAGTTACGTCGGACGGATGGATGGCCGTGGGGGAGGTAGCCGGCGCAAGAACGGTCGTGGTTTCAGGGAATAAGCCCTGGACAAGCCGAGCAATTTTTGGGGTATGAGATGTCCCACCGCAGAGGATGACCTATAGCTCAGTAAGTAGTGCGCTCATGAATTCAGCGTAGACTTCACAAACCTCGTTAATGTCAAGCAGATCAAGCTCAGCTTTCTGAACTGCCTGCTCGATGAGTTCGGTGAAGCTTGCAAAGACCTTTGCGGAGAGAATTTCGTATCTTAGACGGTTCACATTGGAGGTGAAGTCAATACCATTAACCAGACTCTCGACGCTTAGAGAGGCATTTGTACCGATACTAAGAGCCTTCTTGGTAGCTTCTGCCTCCAGTTTTAGTTTAGCCAAGCCGCGGGCTTCTTCTCTGGGATCTGTCTTGTGTTTCTTGATGAACTCCTTTGCGAAGTGGTCAATAAGGACCTGGTCCAACTGGGCACCTCCTAGTTCGTAGTCATGGGCGGTGGCCAAAATGGTATACATCCCACCTCTAGATGCGATGACGGTAATATCGGATCTCGTCCCACCCAGATCAGCAACAACAACAAGCTTGTCGGTTACGACAGCTTCAGGTCGGGCATCGTAAGCTACAACAGCGGCCACAGGTTCGTGGATAAATTGAAGAACCTCAATACCAGCGTTCTTCGCAGCCTCCATCAAAGCAGATCGCTGAGCATCGGTGAAATTTGTGGGGACAGTGATGACTGCTGCATTGACTTCTTTACCAACATACTCAGATGCGGATGTCTTCATGCGACGAAGATGACGAGTGGTAACTTCGGATACGGTGAGTGTGCTTTTCTCTTCATCACTACCTTCTTGCACCGTAAAAGCAATAGTGGATTCATGCTGCTGGGGATGAGCGGACTGGTGGCATGGTGTAGGATCTATCGATTTAAACCTAGAGATAATATGATGGTCAGCCAAATCTCTTCCAATTGAATATTGGCTCGGACAGGAATATTACTCTTTTCCAAGGAAATCTCTGAAAAACGCAATAGTGTTGGTTGGATGTCTGACAACCTGCGATTTGGCTTGTGTCCCGTGGTATTCTTCACCGTCTACATATGAGATGATAGAAGGTATTTGGCGATCTAAAAGAAAAATTTTTGGCGATCAGTTTGGTCCGTATTTGACATGAGGGGGGATCCCACTAACCTCCATCTTCATTTGCAATTACCTCTGCTTTTCCATCCTATCCAAGTAACGTACAGAGTGTTAGGAGAGCAGACAAGGAATTAAGAAGCAATGATATCCAATGGTATAAATTGCAGCTTACAGGCGAAGTATATGCAATGGAACTGTAGGAGTTGCCAAAGGAAATACCAATGGCACACCGCTCAGTCGCATCCGAGGCGACGCCAGCAGCTTGGTCGCTCATTTTTTCCTTCTTGCAAATAAGGATATTATACCAGCCCAAGAAGAGTTATCCTGTCAATGAAGATTTGTGCTGACGGGATGGAGTTCGTGGTGAACGCAGAAACAACTTTTGGCGGCACAGAATATTAGAGGGAAGAAAAAGTTTTTACCTTTTGGGCGTGTTTTTTTCTCTAGTGGGCAGAAAGCTTATCGATAACTAAGAGTGACGGCTCTACATGTATATTAAGAGAAATCTCTTCTTCGACCACAAGCCTTGAAGAGTAGTAAAATAGCTATATGATACCTTTCTTTAAAGCAGCTCATAGTAAGGAGTTTGGTAGAATTATCTAGGGTGAAAGCTGTGAGGGGTCGTCACTAAATCGGCTCTCTCGACATTTTATTGAAGCGTATAAGCGCCAGACGATGACCAATCACCTTCCAGAATAAGCGCAATATCATCCGCGAAGGAAAAGCAGCTTCGGAGAACTCGCCTTGATCAGTCTTTTTAGCTGTCAAGACAGCAGAGGTCTTCTATATCTGTCTTCTCCGCCTACTTGAAGGGCACACCAAGAGGGTGCCACAGCCTGTTCGGTCGCCCCTTAACACAGGTCAATCCAAGGACAACCGGAAAAGTGCCATATACATTTTCGTATCAAGCTATATACATTGCAGCGCATCACATCTCATTAAACCCTTCCATCGTTGACATGTCCGCGAAACAGATCATTATTATCTTTTTACTTACCTGGCGTTGAAGACTGGTCGATACGAGTTGATTTGGCAATCACATTTTTCATCGGGACAAATGTGGATGAAGGGCTAGAGGTGGAATATACCCTTGTGAGAAGTCCCAGCCTTCCATAACTGTTAGTGGGTTTATCCGGCCAGTCATGGTGGTCCTCTTTTATATCTGATGATGAATCGTACTGTCCTCCTTGTGTCGACGAATCATCTGTCTTTACCCTCGTTCTGGATAGAGACATTTTTGATAGAAGTTGTGAATATAGTTCGCCCTCTTGTATAAACTTCAGCCAGAATGCATATATCGCCGGCGCGCAGCTAACGATAACGGTTCCAAACACCTCTGCGAATCTAGAATATGGTCAGTTTTTTTTTTCTCTCGTTGCCCCAGCCTTAGATAGATAGCTCACGTTGTGAGGGTAAGAGTAATCCCGTTCCACAGCGGATCCCCGCCCAGATATAATTTAATTCGGTATCCAAGCCCTGTTATACTTGCAGTAACAGTTCTTACAGTTGTTAGTAGCCAATTTTTATTTTTATTTTTTTAGAAAAAGGGGACACAACTCACAAAAGCCCAACTACGAACACGCATGTCAGCCCAATCTTCTTCGTCCGGGCCACATGTAGATTGGGGATAATGGCAAATGGCAACGCGAATAGTATGAGGTCTGCGAGTACCGAAAATGAGCCAATAAAAAGTTGTAGAACAACTGGTTCTGCGCATCTTGTGAATGCAGTGTTATCCCAAGGGGCTCCATTTCTAGGGAGGCAGTATACCGCCGCTAGAATGATATTAATCCCGTAAACCAGGAGCATAACTATAATAAGTATGTAGCAGGTTCGGCGCATCCATCGTACAGTATTGAATATGCGGATGTAAAGAGCTAGAACTGCAGCTTTTGTCGCCCACTGGGCTGGGGCAGTAAGCATTTGTTGTGCGAATTGTTGCTGCGATAACAGTTAGAAATTAGATAGACTAGTTGATATATTATGTTGGAATCAGTTAGAATCAAAGCTCACTTACTTTGATGAATGATTTGGTGACAAGGCTAGCTGGTGCATCCCATGTATGTGTTGCAGCGCCGCCTCGAGCGACTAACAGTAACGGTTAGGTGGTTATCACCTATAAGAGACGGTGGTAGACATACGATTGTAAATTATGGCCCAGAATCCAATACCTGCCATCTCTCCAAATACACAGAGGTCTGGTATAGGAGTTATCTTGTCAGCAGCGTTCGCTTACGAAGACCCGGTGGACTGGGAATGTTGGATACATACAATCATCCAAGCACAGCTTGCCCATATGCTTATAGTTGGTGAAGAGGCGCATCATGATACATAACGTGCTGACGCATATAAGTGTTAGGCCCAGCACTAGAACAGTTGATTCCCGGGAGGGGGGGTCGATGAAGTTGGGCGGAAGGCCATTTGGATTGGGAGCAATCGGAAATGTCGATAGATCCGCCATGACAGCAGCGTTGAAGGGTTAACTGCTGTGTAGCTGTAGAGGATTACTATTCCAACAGCTCATGAGATTGTGAGGGGGAGAAACAATTTTAGAGCAGAAAGTCTTCCATGGGTGAAGTCAGCCAGCGCGTCGTCAGAAATGCAGAGCAGGTATATCAAATACAAATAAGAAACCTGAAGGATGAGTGCGCACGCAAGGCTCGATCGTGCTTCTCCACTGCCAAATCATGTATCAATCCTTTGAGACAGGGTCTAGCATCATGGCGATCAAAATCCCTGTCGGGCGCATCCTTCATGCAGCTTCAATGCAGTCACCTTTGCATTGAATACTACCTCATCACTATAGCCTATTGAGTTTCTCCTCGTGGCATTCTATACGAAACTGCCGTGCCTTGATATAATACCCGGTAAAATACGGACAGACGCCAGAGATACAGGAGAGACACAGTAGTTATCCCTGTGCGCAAGGCTGAGTGAAGAAAAGTAAGCTGGCCGCCAGGTTCTCGGTAGAGGCAGTGAAAGCTTATGTATATTAGGGGGAACTTATTATTGGGGCCAAACAAGGCTTGGAGCCATAGAAGCTGAGGTAATGTTACAAGTGTTATGTAGTTGCTGCTGTACTCCGTAGATATACGCTAAGATGCTGAACATATAAAAATGGGCAAGCCTAGAGGATGAGGTTTACCCTAGTCAAGAAAAGCTGGCCCAGAATAATCCTCCGTTCTTGATCATTCAAAGGCGCGAAAAGAAAAAAAAAATGCTGCTTCTCGCCCTTAACCTAGATGCCGCTTTGGCCATCTTGCTAGGTAGCTCGATCATAGCTCTATCTTCGTTTATGATAGCAAGCAACGAGCTCAAATCCCGCATCTTGTCACCGCTATACCTCCCGATCGCAGTTCTAAGACGACAGGCCAGAGCATGGCTTTTTCTCGTGAATGGTCCCAATCTCATTCAAGCTGGATATGATAGAGTATGAAGCAATCCGACATGGGGAGATCATACAGATAAGCTGATTCCTAGAGCAGGCAAAAGGAGCCCCTTATGAGGTCCTCGCGCCTGACGTTCGCTGCATAGTCGTTTCATCAGCCAACCATATCAAAGAGATCGATGCCGCTCCGGACAATGTGCTCTCGCTTCAAGCAGCTGCAAAGCAGATGCTTCAACCGAAATACACTATGAATAATTTCAACTGGTTTGACAAAAGGGGAGTTGAGGGCACCCCGCTGGTCCGGACCCTTCGTACCCTCCTTACCAACAATGTACCGAAACTCATTCCAGATATTCGAATGGCCATATCTGGAATGTTTGATGAGTTGCATGATTCTCTCCCAGTTATGAACGGTAAGGGACCAGAATAGGCATATCCCGCGACGTACAGCTAACAATATTTCAGGGGTCAAGGCTGCCCCATTATATCCAATGGTTAAAGAAGCTGTCGCTTACTCCAATGCATTGGCATTCTTTGGCCAGGAGCTAGGTATCTATAACCCAATATTCAATATCCGAATACGCGAGGCTAATGGAGCATCTTAGCCCAAAACAAGGAGTTTATGAAGGCAGCAGTTGACTTCATAGAGAACACACTTCTGATAGCCGAGATAATTCGTTTACTGCCAAGCTCTATCGCTCCGTAAGTCAAGTCCGTCCATAGCTTGGGAGCCATAAATAACATCTGGCTTGTTAGAACTGTCGGAAAGCTGCTGGCCAAGCAATTCCGATCCCATGACATCCTCCACAGCACCTTAATACCAGTTACTGAGGAGCGACTTCAGGAGAGAGCGCAGAAACTACTAGGGCACAACACTCCTACTCATGTAAGCGAATAGTCCTTCGTGAACTCACAGATATGTGCTAATAAAAAAACAGAAAGATTGCATTCAGTGGGTCATGGAATGTTCGCCGAAGCAAAAACCATGGTCTGCGGAGAGAATTGTGCACGAGCTGATGGCACTTTGGTTTGGATCCGTCCACGTTGTTACCACGGTAAGTAAAGGTATCATATTACGTCCACTGCATGGCTTACTGACTGGGGATAAGACCGTCTGTTTTGCAGTCCATGACCTCTGTTTGCATTCGGAGTATATTGAGCTGCTTCGGAAGGAGTTGGAGGGGCCCCAATGGGAAGCCTTTGAGAAAACAGGCAATGGACTCCCGTTTCTTGACAGTTTCCTCAAGGAATCAATGCGTACAACTCCCGTGGAATCAAGTAAGAATCTCTATCTTTCATTCTTTTCAATGAACCTGTATGGGACTTTGACAGGAACTAACGATTTCTTCTTCAATGGGATACAGTAAGCACGCGTCGACAGGCATTGCAACCTTTTGAACTGTCCGACGGAACCAGGATTGAAGTTGGCGAGTGGTTCTGTACGCCACAGAGAGCCATGATGAGAGATCCAGCAAATTTCGAGAAGCCACTCGAATTTCACGGCCTCCGCTTCGTACAACCAGAGCTACTCGCTGACCTCAACGGGTCTCCCTTTGGAAAATTAGAGACCAATAAGCCCACTCAGCTCACAGATGTGGCTGATTGGCAGGCCTGGGGCACTGGGCGCATGGCGTGGTAAGTGATCCTTGCGATTTTATTTTTATCCTCAGAGCGAATAGAACTAACTGATCCACCAAACTATAGCCCTGGACGATTTTATGCCGCAGCAGTCATGAAAATCATACTCAAGCTGTACATCACCAAATACGATATGGAACTCTCGGACAAGGAGGAAGCCCGCTGGTTCACGTGGAGATCGTTTATTTACCCGCGAGGAAGTACCACGGTAATCCTTCGGCCTAGGGAGTCAAATTAGTGGGGGTACAATGTAAGGTTTACCATACCGTATAAATATCTTTTGCACTGTTTTCACATGTCGAGTATATTAGTTCTGAATAGATAGCAAATGTATTTTTCACGTCTCGGTTCTCACACAGCGGTACTTCATCTGTTCTCTTGACTGTGTGTCGGTTGTTGTTTATTGCTGTCAAGTTAAGCATTTTGCTTTTTGTGTTTGAGGTATCACGTGAACATCCATTTTTAACTTACTTCACAACTTATGAAAGATCTCGATATCCCAGACGTTCGTTCCTTCATATCCAGGCTTTCTATATCAAAAACTCCCAGTTGTCACACACTACGCGCCTAGCATATATTACCACTGGAGTTATACCACGGACCTAGCAGGCGGTCCGTAATTGATACTCATAATACTTAATAAATCTGAGGTATCCAGTGACAAGTTATCGATGCAACAACCGATAGATTCTGGCTTGGTTATGTAATCGGAAGGCGAGGGGTTGCATAGATGTATATGTATACATAGTATTTGTATATATATACGAGGAGCACCGAATTAATGTTGTGGCTTGCCTACAATGGCCTTAGTTCCTGAGGGCAAGGCATTCCTGGAGAAAGATGATTTCAAAAAAGGTAAATAAATGAACTATTGGACAGGTAGTAGCTGAGGCAGGGAGAGCTGATACAAGCACCATGACCTGCAGGCCTCGAGGCTCTAGACGAGGAGATGGGCAAAAACGAGATGGTTGTCGCCTTTGCGCCTATCCGGTTGATTGCGGCAGGCGGATTCTTGGCTGTGATGCTTCTTCAGAATCGGACAGCGACTGGCGACCTTGATTACCTGATAGAGCCTGAATGGGCGACCGACATCGATATCCAGAAGCCGCTTAAAGATGCGATTGTCAAGGTCAGCCGAGACCTTGACTATAATATCGAATGGGCCAACGAGGACCTATCTTTATTTGTTACAATGGACGCGAGAGATTATCTTTTTAGCAAGGCGAAGGAGCAGAATATCGTATTATTCAAAGGAGCTTATCTTATTGTCTTAGCTGCGCCAATAGAATGGGCGCTAGAACGGAAGATAAGGAGAATCCATGCGGCAGACCGCGGGCGGAAGACCAAATTCGACCTAAGTGACTGCCTGGCAATGCTCAGATATCTAAGAGGGCAACAGAATGGGCCGCTGGATCGTGAGCATATTCGTACCCTAAATGTGAATAACTTTGATATCATGCCCGATGAGAAGACGATGGATATTATAGCCACGGCCTACCGCGAAAAGTTCGACGAGGAGATATTTAAGAGTTGATACTCCGTGTGTGGCTGACTGTCTAGCCGTTTTTCAAAGAAATTAGACGTTCTGATACCATGATAAGAGGGCTTTGGAAGGATGGCTAGACCTGGGATGGATAGGCATCTCCCCGAATTTTCACACTCAGCGCAGTCAAAAAAAATACTGAATTCATCTAGCATATGGCAGCAATATCTAGTCCTCTCATATAGTGTATAGCCAGCCAACATTTGTAACGATATTACGTTTCGAGAACGTCTTGCTGCAGCCTTTCTCTTCAAGCACGAGCTGATTTTCTTTATTTATAAACTTCTGCGGTAGTCCTGCTAGGTTTTCTGGCATGATCGGTGGTACATATTTAGCCCAGTTGGGTCCAGATACTGGTGTATATGGGGGGTATGGGTCGCTATCGGTGTTTCGGATTATATGCTGGCGGTTCCTTCTCATCCCTAGGCTTAGTCGCCAGTTAAACGCAGTAACAAGCTCTTCAACGAGAGATGCGATAATTGCATATCGTATAGGGTCTAAGTCCCGAGGGTCTTCAATTGCGTCTAATTCCCAGCCCCGATACCAAAAATATTCTGTCTCTTGGCCCATTGGAGCATATTCGCCAGAAGCCATAGATTCATAGAGCCGATAAAGTGAGCGTATCGAGGTATCTCGCATACACCAGATCGGTATACTAGTGTATATATTAAAATAGCGCCTCCTCTCAAACATAAGAGGTTCATTTCCTAGTATTTCCTTCACAGGTATCGGCTCTGGCAGGGGAAATCGCCATGTCGGCCATGGAATAAAGAGGCGGAAGAGAGCAAGATAGGGATGCTTGTGAAGTCGTCTGAGGCTATAGATACTACCCCGCAGCGCAAGGGGGGTCTGCAGTCGATAACGGATACGTCTAATGAAGACTCTGACGGCCAGCCAGAAGGGAAGGGTGCGAAGTTTGGGCATTGTTGATGCTGAAGCCCGCGTTGCTCGTTTCAACGGCCGAAAGGAGAACCCGCTGTATTGAGCAGGAAAGATGATCACGTGAATTACAGTCTATCCTTACGTTATCTGAGCAAATGCCATGCCATTGGCTGGATTTATTTATTTAGGGACGGATTATAATTGATCCGTATTTGTCAGATATCCCATGGTTCCCATTGGAGCAGGTGACGCAGAATGATGATTGGATGATTTATGATCGTTAAGCCTGCTACAACGCCAGATAGATCTACAATATCGTTATACATTCATATGTACATTACTCCGTACATCTTATGGTAATAACTAATTACTTATGCCCGGGATTACTACTATCCATGGAGTATGTATGTACATTCATCCTTGAAGCACAACTTTCAGGTCATCCTTGTGTACTCCATCCGAATGTAGTAAATGCAGGTATTTATGCTTATATCAGCGGCCGATGTTAAATTCCTTTCTTTGCACTATGGCCCCCAGCCTGTAGGTTGCTTTCCCCTGGTTTGGTTATGAATATGCGAGTCATCATTCTTCCTGCTAGCAGCCTCAATTATGGCCCAGGTAGGGCTAATTTCCGATACTGAAGCAATATCATATTGCAAAGGCTGAATATATAATCACATCATCGGTATCCTTGGTGTATCATTCGGTCCGGAGACCCGAACAAGGGGGACCCTCAAGGGCTTGGTTTGAACAGGCAAGTCACAGGCCAGATGCCAATCTTCAGCCCCAACTTTTGAACGGGTGTCTAATTGGTTGGTTAGCAACCAAGCCCCGAAGGATTTGTTTGTTGATCTTTGATAAGAGGCAAGGATTAGTTACCTCTGCTCTGACACACCTGAAAGAACAATCGCAGCCTCGTCCAACTGTTATGTTCTCGTGGAGCACCCCCCTACAAATGCAACCCTGAGCCCCTTCAGTTTTCTCTTTTCCAAACACACCCAGCTCATCACCAATTTCAAAGCGCTTCTCCATCTCAAGAAACACTAAACACGAAACGAGCCCTTGATCAGCCCACGCGATGTTCGATAATTTTACCGCGTGGCACATCCCGCCCCTTTTTGTGGCGACTGCCACCACCTTTGGCGGATTGATGCCATTCTGGAACGCTGCTCATGCCATCGGAGAATTTGGCTTGCCCAATCGCATCGCGATCTCAAAGGAAGCACAGGCGGTTATGATCACGGCGTCGGGACGCACCTCAGCACTCGGACTCGCCCTCTTCGCCTTCTACTCCCAGGGGAAATTCCGTGAAGTCGACACTATCATGATGATTCTAGCCTATGTTGGCCTGGTTGACGGCTATGTGTGCTGGCGCGAAGGGGTGCCTGGCAGAGCCATCTTTAGGGCTACTTCGGGGCTCCTCATTGCTGCGTGGGGCTGGTTTGGCATGACAAGTTAAGATGAGTTAAGTTGTCGAGCTGGGGGCGGGTTTTTGATCTGCAGGCGCTAGACAAGGGGGATCCATCAGCCACCAACCGCTATTCTTGACGTTTCCTCTGTTGCTGCTTTGTTTCTTCCTTGTTCCCACACATCCCGTCACATATACTTCAGCTGTTCCTGGTATCAAAAGAGTCTTCCATGGCATATGTTAGTTATTACAAACCCAGCCTTGCGCTATTTTATCCTGTCCACCACTGTATTATTGGATATCATGCACGTACCGCAGCTAATCACAAGTGCATGCCCTCCAACATGATCCCGTCCTGCGGCAAGGCTACCAGCCGGCCAGCTGCTCCGTAGTTACTAATATCTCGCCAACTCTTAAACGAAAACAGTTGGCCTGCCATCCTTCAAGTCAACTTTTGGGTCGCCTTTTTTTACCCCAATATACCCAACCCCCGAATAACTCGAGAATGACTGTTGCTTCGATGGGGGAGGTGACTCCCCATCCAACCGACATCTCCTCCAGCCCCAGGCCTCACGATAGCACATCGCCCGAGAGCGATGGAAAAGCCCAGGTTGTTGAAGATTCACAGGCGTTCGGACGGTCATGGCGCGTCTGGTGCATCATCTCTGTCCTTTGTCTGCTGTCCTTCATGTCTGCCGTCGACGCCACCATCATAACCACGTCTCTACCCACAATAGCCCGAGAAATCGGCGGAGCTGAAAAGTACGTCTGGGTTGCAAACTCGTTTTTGTTTGCAACGACAGTCCCCCAGCCCCTTTTCGGCCAAATAGCGAACATCTTTGGCCGTCGCAACCCCATTATCGTCGCGATCGCACTCTTCGTCCTGGGAAGCGGTATTTCGGGAGGTGCTAAGAATGTCGGCATGCTCATTGCTGGTCGAACAATTCAGGGTCTCGGATCAGGAGGCCTCTACGTTTTGTCCGACATTGTCATCTGCGATATCGTTCCACCACGGCATAGAGGCCCGTACCTAAGTGCTGTTCTATCGACCGCTGCGATCGGAACAACTATTGGGCCTATAATTGGAGGTGCACTCGCCCAGGTGAACTGGCGATGGATCTTTTGGATTAACTTGCCAATCGGTGGTGTAGGCCTCCTCGCCATTCTGTTCTTCCTAAACGTTCGGTACAAGACCAGCCCGACATGGAGTCATGCATTGGCTCGTGTCGACTTTCTAGGAAATGCGATTTTCATTCCGTCCATGGTTTCTTTATTCTTCGGCCTTATTACTGGTGGAAGTGTCTACCCTTGGAGCTCCTGGCATGTTATAGTTCCCTTGGTTATTGGAGTTCTAGGATGGATCTTGTTCCACTTCCACCAGACGTCGCCAATTTGCAAGGAGCCTAGCATGCCACCAAGGCTGTTCCAGCATCGTACTTCAGCAGCTAGCTTTGTCATCATCTTTTTCGGAGCCATCATCCTCCAGGCGATTTCTTATTTCCTCCCAGTTTATTTCCAGGCTGTCAAAGGAACCTCACCCTTAACCTCTGGTGTGAATTTCCTTCCGTTTGCCCTCGCTATTATGCCCTTTGGCGGGCTGACGGGTGTATTCATGTCGAAAACGGGTATGTACATACCGCTACACTGGATTGGGTTCGCTTTGAGCGCCATCGGTATAGGCCTGTTTTCCACGTTGAACGAATCATCCAGTACAGGAGCTTGGGTAGGATATCAGATCCTTGCGTCCGGAGGTACAGGAATCGTTTTCACTGCTACACTACCATCTACCTTGGCACCATTACCAGAGAGCGACGTTGCCGTTGCTACTGGTACCTACTCCTTCGTGCGCTCATTCGGTCTGGTTTGGGGTGCAACGATGGCATCCATCGTTTTCAACGGCCAGGTGAATTCACATATAAACTTGATTACTGATGTAGCAGTCCAAGCTCTTTTGAAGGACGGTGCTGCGTACTCGTATGCCAGCGGTGGGCGTATTGGGTTGTTGCCCCCTGATTCGCATGACCAAGTCATAATGGTATATGTGAAGGCGTTGCAGGTAGTCTGGCGAGTTATCGTCGCAATTGCCTGCCTTGGATTTTGTTGTGCTTTTATAGAGAAACACGTTGAGCTACGTAAGGAACACGAGACTGAGTATGGGCTTGCTAAAGAAGATCAGCCTGGTACCCCAGGGGAGGTGGAAAAGGGGGTATACACTCCAGAAAAGAAATAGGACCATTAGCGAAGCCGCCATTTTATGTTTTCATAGCGAGTAATTTAGATAGAGCAACTTTGGAAGAGATATCAAGTTCACGAAATATCAACTTATTAAATTCAATACCCTAACCTAGTATCTTCTGCACAGTCTTCGCGGACACATCGTCAAACCTACGATATATCAGGTAAATACACGATAGCATCATATCATTTAATTATCTTTTCGCCTTTGAGATAACCTGTGAGGACACACGATGCCTGTCTTGGTGGCTACAGCAACTAGCTACTGCTTTACTCCTTGTTTATCAAATAATTGCGCATTGAAAATGATTCTACGCGAGTCCATTCAGACAAAAATATCAAGTAGTCAGTGGCGATATCTCACTAATCAGCTTTGCTAAGTCTAATCAACATCCTCATATCAGAACACAACGTTCCCTGCGCGCCAGCTTGGTTTCTGTTTGCTCCTTCCTCGTACACCTCATTGCATTGGACTACATGTTCAGTGCCATCATGACCTTGTAAGTGTAGCTCAGGTTGCTTATTCTCATGACGAGCAACTAACGCTATGGATTCAATAGACAGGCGGCGGATGCCACCTCCCTCCACCCCCACTTCAACATCTCGACAAGCCGGAACCATGTCGAATACTTCTTCACAATCTAGTACTCTCTCGGAAACAATTAAGCTCGAATCGAAACGTCTGTCCGGGCCCAACTGTTGGGCGTGTAACACCAGACAGCCGCAGATCTGCCATGTAGTTGCGCAGCATGATACACAAGTGAACTCTCTCTACCCTGTCCGTTGTCAAAGAATGCTAACAAGCTTCTTTGTAGATAGAAATATGGGAAAAAGCTGGGCTGTTTAACTTCGCGTACAAGTCGGTGGCCAATGCAATTCCCTTATGTCCCTCATGTCACGTCGAGTTTGATCTTGCCATCGACCCTGGGTACATCTTCTTCCCAGCAGACCTTCACTTTTTTATAAACTTCGAACTTGAGGATCGCGAGCGGCGCCGCCTAACGGCTGAAAGTGGTTTCCCTGTGAAGCGGCAAGTACCAACAGCAAAGGACTACAAAGATCATCAAATACGAAATGGAAGCATATCTCCAGAGGACGTTGGGGGTTTATATAGACGTGTGTTTCTAAAAAATTTCCTCCATGATGGCATGTTCCCCTCGATTATCCCCACATTAACCACACCAAAATGTTGGCACGGCGACCCAATGGCTTCACTTCGGCGGGCGATCGCTGCCCTGGGGAGTCCCAGGATCTATGTTATAAACCCAGAAACCCGTTCCTCTTTAGAACAGCTACGGGACTTATACTTTTCCGACACAGCCGAGAGACAAATTCAAGAAAATCTTCAACACGGCCAACAACCAACACAGGCGACAAAACGTTCCCAGAATGAAGTCACTGAAGAAAGTGTAAAGAAAAGGAAAGGAAAGACCGTTGAGGATAGTCAGGACGTGGATGGGCCTGGTTTGGGTTTTAATCTTGAAGCAGGCGACACCTTTATTCTTGGTCCAACTATGACTGCCAATGAAGTTATACAAAAGTATGCACCAGTTCTTGAAATTGTATAAATACCTTGATAAGAGTTGCTGTCGCGGTATTTTATTCTATTATTTTAGTGAAAACGTTGTCTGCACGTAGGCTAGTCTCGATTCTGAACTCTGGTTTCAATTTCACCCTATTGATGCTGTGCTTCTGTCATGGTGAAGTTTAGGACAATTTCCCATTCTAAATTTCAGATTTACTATATAACAACGACGAAGTATAGGACCGCTTTAAGGAAATAGTCTATTACTAGTTAATAGAAGAGATCTCCGAATCTAAGTTATTTAAGATAGCCGATTCTATAGAGTAGACGTTTATTAAGGATCGTAAGTTACTAGAGGGCGCCTCGAGAGCCTAACTAAGAGCTTATTTTAACGCCTAGGCAAAGGATACTATTAAAAAAGAGCAACTACGCGTAGAAAACTATTATACTTATAGTATTTTTTATAAAGACTTAGGCAGCAGCGACATCAAGAAGAGGTTGACTTACATAATCCATCTAGAGGCCACTCAGGCAAGGTAACACTACATTGCAGTATTAAATTTCCCAAACCTGTAGCGACACGCCGCGAGACACAGTAATAGGGGAATTTGGTGAGGTCCTGGAGTACGGAGCAACGAACGAAGCGTATGTTGATCGTGACGTAGAATAGAAAGCTTGGCACTAAATAAGAATTTATTTCTTTCTCTCTTCCTTTGCACCAAGATTTATTACTCTTGCTTAACGCACCATGACTAGACACGAGGATCCTGTGTGATAGATTTGACAGCGAGGTGTTGATTCGATCTAGGCCATGGCTAAAACCAAACTTGGCCCAGCGCTGGTTTTTGAAAGGAAGAACAAGAACTTATTGAAGATCCCTAAAAGTACCGTATATAGACAATTCAATCTCTACTCAGCGCATCACTGAGACCCATTTCTTAACAAGAGCTAATCGTTCATTTCTGCTCAGATGCGCGAATTGAGAAACGGCCAATCCCTCATCCCCCAGCCGCATCTCCTTATGCTGGAGCTAACGTACCAAAGGTCGTTTATGTCTCGACCAAGTCACCCTTTATAAGCATTGCAAAACGCGTCCAAAAGTTGTTGAGAGAAGCTGAAAAGCGCGCTACACAGAGTGTTTGCTTGGGGGATAAGGGGAAAACCGGCAAAGACAAGCTTGCGCAGCTTAAAGGTGCTTCTGAGGCATTGCGGAAAGAGCCCGTCTTTATTAAAGCCACGGGGCGTGCTATTGACAAAGCTATGAAAGTAGGAAAATGGTTTGATGAAAAGGATGGGTTTACTATCAAGGTCAAGACCGGGGCAGTCTTGGTGGTAGATGATATTGTTCAAGACGAAGATGTCAAAGATGGGCTAGCAGATAGCACGGAGCGGTCTACAGATGAAGCTCAGAAAAATGAGGGTCAAGAACAGCTTGTCTCTAAGCCTGGTGAAAATATGGATGCTACAGGCAAGAAGGGAAACAAGATCCAGATATCGGACGGCAGGCCTAATTCACCCCTGCCAGACTCGAGAACTCGCTGGGTGAACATGGTAGAAATAGAAGTCACTATGCAATGACGGCCTGCCTGAGCGGTTGGATGGGTAACATTGCAACGAATATACACCGCCTCACGTTCATGGTCGAACTACGATACCAGCATCTTTTGGCCAAGTTCACTTAACCAGTTAATGGATTGTATGGGTTGAGCTGTGGTTTGACGGAGAATTACACTTGCTGTGTGCAAAATGTGTTTATCATTCTAAGCCTGGAATTGCGGTGAGGACTGGAGCATTGCCCAGCGAGGCTTAGTTAACAGGGTATTTTAAGCTCGCCTAAGGTGGCTTGCCATCTCACCTTACTCTATGGAATAATGTACTTGTAACTTTTACCTGTCATCTTCTTGGCATGGGCAGTGCCGATGATGTCACAATTTTCGACTCTTTTAACATCGAACCAGCATGCGAGTGTCTGTTGGAACAAGTCGAATACCGCTGCGGCTACTATCACTGTATATAACATGCGATGATCATAGCTTAACCGAGCCTCTGTTCTTTTCAATATCGGTACGGACAGATATCCGGTCAGTGCTGATAGTGGCGATTATCGCGATATTCAGCTCATCAACTCAACGATCCTTTGATGTTTGGAACATTTTCAAAAGCCTTTTCTCGATTTATGATAAAGATCGATGTATTTGGGTAAACTGTTACTATGTCGAACGTCCCTACTCCGCCTCCTTCGTACAGAGATGCTGCACAAACACCCGCTCCTCCTCCGCTGAGCCGACCGGAACTGTCGCCTCTAACCCTCGATGGCAATCTGATATATCCAGTCGTTCCTCCAACAACGGCTCTCTATGAGCTCACTCACGAGCTAGATGCTGGCTTTAAGAAAATTGGAATTTCACGACTTTGTCCGAACAGAAACACAGCACAGTACGGCAACATAAGAGATAAGCATTTATACGATTTCTTGCAACCTGTTTTTTCCTCTTCAGTGGAAATAATAGGGAAAAGGCGAAGCTGTCTCTCTCCAGTTTTATGTCTGCGAATGTCTCGTGGCATTTTCAGGAGAGGATGGGAACTCTTTCGGCTCCGTTTGAATGGACAGGTGGATGACCTGATATTTCGCATAAGACCCAGACATAGCCCGGAGAGGCAGGAAATATTGCAGTGGGAAGATGCAAACCAGTCTCTTGTTGCCGTAGAGACAGTGTGTATACCCGGCGGCAGTAATGTGAGGCCTGTGTTACATATTGTTCGTGATATGGACAATCCGTTAATCGATGCTCTTGTTACTGCATGGTGTGCAAAGATATGGATAGGTCACCAGCAATCAGCTGCGGGAAAAGAGCGAGGAATAGAGGTAATTACGGGTACGCCTTGTGCTTAGGGGCTTAATCCGTAGGATATATGATATACTCTTATACTTCTGGCTCAACAACATATGGGATACGTATGGAGGAGTTGGTTGAGTTTAATATTTTGTTGAAGATTTTTGGGATATAAGGAATATTAGCACCGTCTCGAGAAATAGCACCGATGCTTACGTTGAGTCAAATTATCAAGTCCAATGGTAAAACTCAGGCATAATGGAAGCTATATTTCATATTCAGCTCCGCTCTACCGCCGGTTTTTGTAGGCTGGAGAAAGATAAACACCTTAGTGGCCTAAAGTCGCCAAATACCACTCTATCGATGCCCGTACAATAAGCCCAACGCCTCTTAGCAATGCAAGCACTAGATCAACAGACGAGGTGTCCCACTCATTTGCCCATTCCCATCTCCTTCAACACTTTCAACACCAGCTTCTTTTGTTCTAAAACGTCCAGCCTCTTATCATCCGTCTCTTTTAGACACCGTCCAATAGCAACCACAATCATAACCCCAGCATCACCGTCTGCAGAACTATCAACCCAGACCTTCCCGTTCCGCCCAACAGCAACTTCAAACCCACCATAGCTCTCAAACTTCCTCCCTAGCTCTTCTAAAACAATAACACCACCAGGGCCGGCGCCATCTTTCCTTTCTGCACCGGTCATCATGAGCCTGGAGGCGAAGAGGGTGGAAACGTCAAAAACCATCCCACCGGTCAAGGGTCCGAGTCCGTCAGGCTCTGCCTTTCCAGTTGCAGTGTTGACACATGTAAGCTCTATCTCTCCGCCTGCACCGACGCCCACAGATAGAATACGTGCATAAACTAGCTCGCCGGGTTTAAGCTGCGGCCTTGTTTTCTTCGTTGCTCCTTCAAAGGAGAGCTGACCGAGGAATGCATGGGGCGAATTTAGTGATATTATGCAGTGAAAGAAATCCTGGCTCGAGTGGTGTATTTGGGCAATTACCAGGTCATTCTGGCATGGTATGTAGCGAGCCCTAGGAAACGTGAGGATTGAAGTGGTTGCATTCCGCTTGGTTTCGGACGTCAGAAGCCCCGCCTGCGAGGCTGCGATTATTTGTGA